ATGACCATTTATTCATTAGACTCCAAGCTCCATGGACACAGGGATCATTGCCCTGTTTACTACTATTTCCCCTGCACCTAGTGGAACACCTGGCACTTAGCAGGACTTAACTAATGTTTGTTCAGTGAACAAACCTATAAATGAATAGATAAGTGAGGGAATAAACAGGTTTTCTTCATGGAAAATTTACAATAATAAACATAATAGAAGCAGGAGGGTGAAGGCCTACATTAAGTCTGTGTAGGTGTTAGGGGAAGTGGGGACACAGATAGGAAGCTTTTGTCTAGAGGGTAGCTTTTACCAGGGCATTGAAGGATGGGTAGAGTTTGTGTATACAGTGATTGTGCTGAACCGAGGGGACAAGAAGGAAAGGAGAAAGGAGATTAGTGCCAAATAAATGTTAGGAGTTTTTTTTTTTTTTCTTTGTTTTTGTTTTTTTTTGTTTTTTGTGTGGTTTTGTTTTTTGGTTTTTTTTTGTGTGTGTTTTTTGTTTTTTTGCTTTTGCCACACACTAAACAATAGTTTGATGATAATTGTTTCTCTTTCTTCATGGTTAATTCTCAAGATCGGTTTTTGTTTTTTCACTTTTGCATGCACATAGGAAAAATCTCTTGCAGTATTTTAGATTTTGAAAAAAGCAACAGACTTTGGAAGAAAAATGTGATGGATGCTTATTGGTTTGCTGACTCTTAAAAATAAACTCCAGGTCATGGAAGGCCTAGAAAGTGAGTGATTGCCTTTATTCTGAAAGCAGCAAGGAATTGACAGGGAGTGACCTGGGGAAAGAGGGTTTCCTGAAAGTCAGTGTTGCATCCATGCAGAGATGGGGCAAAGAGGCAAAAGATGACATCTATTGCCAGGGTACATATGAGTGGCAGGGAAGGCCAGGACTATGTTGTCACAGATGGGTTGAATATATGTAAGAGATAATTACAGTGAGGCCCTGAAGATAACCCAGGCGAGGTTGCATTGGAGTGAAATAACTGTAAGGAATTTAGACTCTTAGAACAGTAATGGGACCTTCAAAGGCCAGCTCTTGTTCCCCACTTTTGAAATCATTGAATTCAGTCAAATTTCTGACTTTGACAGTAAGAAAACTCAGACTCTAAGAGATGAAGTGACATGCCCCACGTCACACAGCTTTTAGAGGCAAAGTGAGATTTGAACTCGTATTTCCAGTTCCTAGTCAGTTGTTTATATATACAGAAAAATATTCCTTTTACTCTTGTTGATAACTAAACAAGAAGATCTCTTAGTTCAAATGGCACCTTTCTCCAGGAGATTAGGCTGTTTAATTTATAATTTTGCCACTACCACATATCTGAAGAGTGGCCTTAGTGAGCTACTCACAAAGCTCCCATTTTCATATCTGAAAAGTGGGGATAATTTAGAAGAGCTGTAAGATCATGGAGAGGGTTGAGTGACAGTCCTTGCAAAGAGCTTAGCACCTCACACCATGCTGGAACACAGTACACACCCAACAATGACTGGGGTCTGTGATCATCATTTCCACCAACACTATTCATAATTCCATCAGAGATAGTCTGCCTGATTATCAGACAATATTATGAGTTAGAAATTTCAGAATCACTGCTGATCTCTGGAGTTCAGACCACTTCGTTCCTGTCTGCCTTTGAGACACTCAGCCCTAGAGGGGGCTTAGTTTTCCCATCTGAGAAATAGAGGGGTGTGGATGTGGGCGCGAGGAGGTGGGAATGACTGAGAGGAATCAGGGAGGAGGAGCCATGTGGAGCTTAGCAAGCCACTCATTTCCAGAAAGATTCCCACCATTAACATGCTGGCAACCTCTAGGCCTGGTGACTTCATGAGGGCTCTGAGTCATCAGACCCCATTGATGAGGCCACATTGCGAACGTGCTCCTTGCTTCAGATCCTGCAGGCATACAAGCCCTCTTATTTTCACTTCCTCTCACGGTCAGTTCTTCACCCCAAATAACATGGGCATGGGTCAGGGATGCCAAAAGGTTCTAGTGAGGAGTTCTCAAACACTGGTGTTGTTTGGGAGAACAGACCAAGTTCACAGTGACGCTTCCTAAAACGTAACCATGCAGAATGTCATTCCTGACCGCGAAGAGGAATGTCAACCCTCATCCTCCAAGTGCAGCTCAGCTGAGAGTCCCCATGACTTATTCCTGGCATGTGACGTCAGCATGTGCTTTCTTTGCTCTCCCTCTTTCTAAACTTTACAGACAGGAAAACAGAGTCAGAGTAGACCAGGAAGTTGCTCAGCACCATAGGGCCAACCTGAGGATTAGATCATATTTCCCAGCCTTTCCTAGATATAGCCAGCTTATAGAAGTCAGGGAGTTTGAATAGTGTCTAGTATTTTAATTTAAAAAGAGAAAGAGATTGGAAATGACACCAGATAATTTTCTTTCTCTCCCTGCCGTTCTTTGTCTCTCTCAGTCTTTGTCACCCTATACTTCAGAAATCTTTAGGAACTTCAAATACTTTAGGAACTTGTAGGGGACTTACTATCAAAGGCGCCCTACTGAGGACAAATTGCCTTGAATGTGGGCAGGGATGCTTCATGTTTTTAACTAGAAGATTACGGATTTTCTTCCCATTAGTTGAATTGACATCTCTGTTGGCTTCCTCAGTTGAGAACACCTGTGAGCTGGAGGGTTTGTGTAAGATTATGGCTTTGTCTTCAGGTTTCTCTCCAAATGTAGCAGCAACTCTGAAAGCTGAAGTAATCTCCAACTGTATCATGTGCCACACTGGTGTCAAATATTGTGACTATTGCCCCCCCAACAAAAGTGGTGGCGTCATTCTCTTTTCATTCAAGTGGAGAACCCCTCACCCTACTGTGAAACTGATCCAGACAACAAGCCCCTGCCCATGGTGGGGTCCTTTCTTTATCTCTGTTTCTTTGGAATTGTGATTTTGGGGTGGGGGGAAGTCAACAAATGAGTCAACAGAAAAAAGAATGCTGATTTTATCAAGAACTGTCTCAGGGGATACCAAAGGAAGGGGAAAATGGAACACTATTGGCCATTGGCCTGTACACAGGGACCAGACATGACCATTTGGGGACAGTATAAATCTTGCTAATTCTAACCGGAAAAAAAAAAAAAAGAAGCAGGGGGAGTGGAATGTACCACCAAAATAAAGAAATGACAGAAAGATACATTGCCAGGGCTGGGGATATAGCTCAGTTGGTAGAGTGCTTACCTTGCATGCTCAAGGCCCTAGGTTCAATCCCCAGCACCACACACACACACACAAAAAAAAAAAAAAAAAAAAAAGAAGAAGAAGAAGAAAAGAAAGAAAGAAAAGATACAGAGCCTGCTCTAGTCCCTTTGGTACCCGAGTGCCTCTCTGTGGGTCAGGTACTCAGGAGGTTCATTGACTTGATGCAGTCTCATCCCTTTGATTAGGTGTCTAGTATGGAACCAGCTAGTAACCTGTACTAAGTTGGGGCCTGAAAAGATGAAGTTGCCTCCTAAAGACTATCCTATACCCACAAGAGCCTACTCTCTTTTAATCTTTTATAAGGAAGAGAAAATTTCTAATTGGAGAACTTAGTAACTCATTGCTCTGATTTCCCTACAGCAGACACACCTGGTGTTAAACATCTCTTCCCATAACCAAAATTGCAGAGCATCTTCCCAAAACCACTGAGTTGCAGAATTTAAAAAATGTATTTGATAGCCAGATCTACTAATTGGGTCAGTTTTCCAAAGCCCTTTGCTCCCCTGCTTTTCATGGGGGAAGAGGAAAAGGAGGCAGTCAGCAGCTGGTGATTGAAATACAATTCTCTGGCATGTAAATCTTGGCCAACACTAGTGTATTATCCTGGCCAAGGTTTCCTGGTGCTCCCTGACTCCTCGCCAAGGTCTGCCCTTCCTGGTGACTGCCCTAAGGTTGCCCTTCATTGACTCCCTTCTGATGTCCACCCTCTGAATTCCTCTGATCATCAGAGTGGTGATCACAGCAGCCTGCATTTCTGGAGCTCTTCATGATTTTTAATTTCATTAGAGCCTCAGAAAATTCTGTGAAAGAATTAGGGATATATTATCCCTATGTATAATTACCTCCATTTTACTGGTGAGGAAACTTGGACTCTGCTAATACAAGTAACCTACTACTTAAGGACACAGTGAATTATAGCAATGCTGTATCCTAACCCACATCCTCTGTCTCAGAGTCTACTGTTCTTTGAACAAACACGTGGGTATAAAAGGCCAGTGAGAAAAGTATTCTGCCAAAAGTAGACTGTCTTTGTCTCCAGAGGTAATAGGGTTGGTATTATTCCATGCAATACCCTGATTTTTAAATGTAATAATAATTAATCTGGTTACCAAAAATGGTGCATTTTTCACCACCAGCATTATAAAGAGACAATTTACAAAAATAAGTACATCAGCTGAGATATATTGTGATATTAATATTATGTATTCTATATTTAATATGCTACCATGTTATAAACTTATATTTTTATGACTAAGTCCAGGAGTTTTCATAATAATGAGTCATAGCCTATTAATATAAATTATTAAGTCAATGTAATGGACTCCTACCAGAATTAAAAGAAAAACAGGGCAAAATAGGATGGAATAGAGTTGAAAATATCCACGTACACCACTTGTAGCAAAGTGAGTAGTGTTCTCTGAATCCTTTTGTGCATGTGCTCTGTGTACTGGATCACAACAGGAAAGGCGTTTCTTACTGTAGTCCCTCCCTCTTTCTTGCTTTCTTTTACTCCCATCGTCCTCCCGTCTCTTTTCTTCTCTCCATGTATGTAGGAAACATACCCGGATACCCACTACCATCCTGTGCTCATGAACAGGGGCCACCTGCCTTCCCTTGCCCCACTCCATCTTTCCTCACCCAAGGTTCTAAGGCAGGGACTACTCTCTCACATTCACTTGTACCTTCAAGTCAGGATTTGCTACTTCTTTCCTTGTGTAATAAATAAGTTGGTCACTCTAAGACATCCTGTTTCCATTTTAGGCAAAACAACTTGAACGTGAAGAAATGAAATCCCAGAGGAGAACCACTTTGTGCTTCATGTTTGCTGTGATTTATTCTTCCCAAGCGACACTGAACTTAGAGTCTGCTGTCCATCCTTTGGTGAGTAAACCCATGTCTGCTATAATTTTCCTGTCACATTTCTCTGATTTCCTGGGAATGTCACAGACAGGATAATGGTTCTTCAAAGAAATTGGGAAGGGATTTTGAGAAAATGTTGTAAATGAGGTGACAACTGGATGTTAATGGATGTTAGTGTATTTACGGGCCACATCTTGCCATATTCTGAAATCGGTGGTGGTATCAAGGGAACACAAGTGCAACGTAAGACAGATCTCCCAGGATGGCCACCTTAACTCAGTCATAACCTCTAGGCTTCCACACAGTGACAATGACAATGACAATAAAGCAAATTTGGAGGACCAAGCACAGATTTTATGTCCTCAAAGGATTCTTCTTGAGCATCAGACTAGAACATATTTCAAAAGACATTGATTTGCATGCATGTCATGGTCACAGGTTGCTGTAGCTCGAGAGTCCATGGATATCATCTAAGAACTTTGCGACAGTTGTCCAGGTTGTTTGCTTTTGGAAGGTCCACAGAGTTTAGCTTAAGTCAAGGGAGTGACAAGTGCCCCTTACTCCTTATGAGAATTCTTGATTATTCCTTGCTTAGGTTTTTCCCTGCTCTAGAGACAGGGTATGAAACTGGTTGAGAAATCTTGGAAGATTTGTAATTCAGTTTCTTCATCTGTAAAATCATGCTGGCAGTAGTACTGACTTCTTATGATAGTTATGAGATTTGAACTAGTTTGAAGAGGCCTTAAATTCAAGCCCATTACATAATAAACAGCACAGCAGTATTAGCTATTTTTGTGTCTCACTTTGGAATACTATATTTTCCTATTGATTCTTTTTGTTTCAGATATTGCAGTTCTATTTTATTCTATCACTATTGTTAGAGTTTCAGTGGTACATTTTAGCTTTGCAAAATCTGTCTCTTTGTTCTACGTGGCTATTTTTGATGCAATCCTTTGTCTTCTATTCCAATTGTCAATCCTTCTTCTCTATTTCTGTTTGCCTGGTTTTTGTCCTTTAATTTCTGTTTAGCCTTTAGTGTATTATTCTGCTTTAATGGTTCTCTTATAAACAAAATATGTTTGAGCTTTTTCTCATTGTTCTTTCTGTTTTAGGTCTTTTATTGTTCAATCTAGTTTTCTTGGTCTTTTTTTTTGCTTTTTTTGTAAACTTATGACTTTGAGGGTATACATGGGGTGTCTTCTCTTAGCCTCCAGTACTCATGTATAATCTGTGCAATGTCATGTGGCAGCTTGCTCATAGAAATAGAGGAGGGAAACTTTATACTTTTGAATTCACAGGGTCAGTGTGGTTATTCAAGGTATGTGGAGAGAAAGTCAGAGCTTATGTTGATCTGTGCAACATGGTTAGATTTCTTCTGTTTCAGGATTCTTTTTTCCTCCCTTTACTTCAAATCTACGTTTATAGTGACAGTCTGAAAAAACTCCCTTCATTGCCAGGTGACATAGGCGCTCAAGGCATACAACTAACTTCTTAGGGTAGTTGGTGGAATTTGAACTTTGTCCCTCTGGAAACTTCCACTGCTTGCCTACCCCCAAAGTCTCCCACTTTTCCATCTAGATCTGCCCTAAAGATACACTGTCTTCATATAACCCAAAGGCTGAGGAGCCCCATTGGAGAGATTCACTTTAGCCTGATCAATTTATACTACAATAAACTGCTGCCCAGTTCCCATAGCTGACTTTTCACTTTCTTAAGTGCAACACCTGAGCTTTTTAAACAACAACAACAACAACAACAACAAAAAAAAGCCCACATAAAATACATTTATTATCTTAACCAGTTTTAAATGAACATCTTGGTAGTTTTACATGCATTCACATCATTGCATAGTCAATCTCCATAAATTGTTTCACCTTTCAAAATTGCAACTCCACCCAATGAACAACAACCCTCCCCCTTTCCTCCCTCAGTCCCTGGCAACCACCATTCTACATTCTGTCTTTATGAAATTTGACTACTCTCTACATTAGGTACCATATAAACAGAATCATGCAATATTTTCTCTTTTTGTGCCTGGCTTATTTCACTTGGCATAATGTCCTCAAGATTCGTTCCTGTTGCAGCCTATGACAAAATTTCCCTCCTCTTTTAAGACTGGATAAAATTCCCTTGTAAGTCTGTGCCATGTTTTATTCATTCATCATCCACCCATGGCACTTGGGCTGGTTCCATCTCTTGCTTATTGGGAATAAGGCTGCTGGGTTCGAATTGAGGGATGCGTTTGTCAAGTGCAACAGTCTAGCCTGCTGCTTCTCCAACTCAAATTCTTCCAGGGGACCTCTTAAGATATAGATTTCAACAGGGTAAGCCCAGAGTGGGGTTGGAGAGTTGCCTGCTCCAGTGACCACCCTTGAAGTAGCAAGCCTGTGTGTGTTCTTCATTGGCAGCAGGTCTGGGTTGAAGCCCAACTCTGACTCCCACTAATTTCTGAGACTTCATTCAGTTTTTTCATCTCTCTGAAGCTAATCCTCTGCCATAAATAAGACTCAACAGTATCTCCCTAAATGGTTTGTTGTGAGGATTAAACATTGAGACATTTATGCCTTAGCACTGTGACTAGCTCAGAGCACCAGGGCTTCTGAATTGGTAGTTATTTTTAATATTCTGCTACAAATAAATCCCTATGTTAATATCCTTCTATAAGGGGACATTCTAATAGGACTGTTACTGAGATAATTGTACAACATGGCAGCAAAGATGTGAACTTGGGATTCCAGGTCAAAAAGAAGAGGAGCGGGTGGTGGACTCCAGGGAGGAGGACTGTGATTTGAAATGCAGGGGCAGGGGCTTGGTGACCTCCTTGTTTGCCATCCTGTTCCCTGGGGATTTTCTTTTTCATGAGTTCAAAGCCACCTCTCATTCCTGACTAACTGCCCACCCTGCTTCAGGCCACCCTGCTCCACCTCCACCACAGTTATTTGGAAAGTCATCATGTCTGAAAGGTGGGGCGCTTCCTGGAATTGGTGACCTTGTCTCTTCCAGCTCAGCCATCAGGAAATCCCCTCCGGATGGACAGAGCTGGCCTCTGTGGCTCAGATCCTCATCTGGGTCCCTCTGCACAGAACATGCAGGGGGAGGTGGCAGGGAGCCCTGTTTTCTTGTCTGAAGTAAATATGCAGCTGAGCCTTCTGAGCCTAGGGGGACCTGTTCTCCCTCATGAATGACATGCGTCTGTGCAGATTGTTTTTCATAATGTGAGAAACTGAGGCTTAGAAGAAGTAAATGACTTTTCCAGCTAGTAGGGAGCTGAAGTAGTGAGAATCAGTTCATGGTGTGACTCCAGTACCTTCTGTATTCAAATCCAGGTCCCATGACTGGCAGCCCAGCTCTTTGCACCTTCTCAAATCTGGGACAGTGGGGTTACTCACCACCACCACCACCTCCTCCTCCAACTCCCTGAGGCTTTACTGCTGTCAGGGGTCTTTTCTGCATTAGCTCTGATGACTGCAGGCTTAACTGAAAGAGTAGTTTCCTCTCATGAGAAGCTGTGAATTCTCACTTGACTACAAAAGTGGGAGGTGACAGGGATGTAGAAGCAGCACTTTGCAAAGGAAGTTTCAAACATTCTATGTGCTGGAATTGCAGATGATCACCATAAAGACTCAAGAAAGCTTCAAAAGGCAGTGTTTCCCAAAAAAGTGGCCTCACATCTAGGAATATGCTGGTTAAAAGGCCAGTTTTCTCCACCTTCCCTGGACCTATTGAATCAGACTGGGGGAAGAGGAGGCAAGTGATTCTCATTCTCACCAGGATTTTAAATGCCCTGCATTAGAGAACTGAAATGGACCTTGATTGTAACATTCAGCAGACAGCAGCAAGTCCCCCTTGGAAAACAGGGACAATAAAATTTGATCTGGGAAAGCTTCCAAATGTAAGCTCTGAAAGTCACGTTCTCCTGGGCTTGTGAGTCCCCCAACCACAGCCCACAAGTAGCAGACAGAGAAGCTTCCTGGTAGCCACCTGCTCCCTGCCCCCAGGTCCCTGGGAGGATGAAGTCAGGAATGCCCGGAAGAACCTTCCCTCTGCCTGGGCACAGGGCCAAAGCAGGCTCCAGAGGAAGCCAGCAGGAACCAGCCTATACATTGACTTTGCGCCTTCAGTTCCTGCATACTTAAGTACTTCTAAAATAACTTCAGTGCAAAAGAGCAGAGACTAGGTTTTCCAAATTCCAATCATCATCCATCAAGCCTGTATTTATTTCTCCAAGGGCAATTATGAATGTCCAGGTACAGGGTCCCACCCCACTTCCTACTGACTTTAATACTTCCTTCAACCTGAGTCTCCCAAGGGCATAAGGGAGAGGAAAGACAAAACCTCCCACAGAGCTGTAAATGGGCCTTATCTAATAAGTGTAACTTAATAAGGGCAGGGAGAAAAGCCAGGGGAACTATTCATGGAAAAGGAAGAGGAGAGAGGAGGAGGTTGCAGAAGAAGGAGAGAAATTTCCCACTGAGCCAAGAAAGACTGGCTCATTGAGACAAATCCAGTCTCCTACTATGTAACCAAAGCTACTCTCAGTTCTTTCCATTTAGTAATCATTTGATCTTTACAACAGCCTTATAAAGTAGATCATACTCTTGGTTAGGACTGTGGCACAGAGATGTTAAGGAATATGCCCAAAGTCACAGATCCATTTTATAATAAAGCTAGGCTTTGAACTGAACATCTGCAGAGTTCTTGCTTGTAACCACTGTACCAGGTGATAATAACTAAAATGTACTAAGAGCTTACAAATATGCCAATTATATTTTGCTTCATTCTTATAACAATCCTGTGAAAGTTGGCACTATTATTTCCATTTTAGAGAAAAGAAAGCTGAGGTTCTTTGAAGATAAGTAACTTCCCCAAGTTCGCATGGCTAGTAAAGTGGCCCAGCCTTGTGTGCAGGCAGTCTGAGTCTAGAGCGGTCTCTCCTAGTTTTTACCACAAATACCAATAGAATCATCTAAGAGAAAAAGGACTAGAGGAGGAAATCATAGTTCCTAAGCTCTAATAGAGCAGAAATGTCAAGGTGCAGCCAGACGGGATGCTGAAAAGAGTAAATAGATCTGTCTAATAAGTCAGTGGAATGATTCATGCTTTAAGTCTTAGATGGAAGAATACAAGTTTAGAACATCATCACTTACTTTTCTTGACAAAACTCAAACTGCAGAAACACTAAGAAACTCACCTATAATGATTGATTTCTTTTGCTTTTGGATCTTGAGAATGGTCTATAGGAAGTGCATTCCTAGGTCACACTACAGAGGTGAATTCGTGATTTTCTTGACCATTCCATTGCTGCCTGTCTGCCTGTCATCCCTGGGTGCATGATGTTGACCCAAACTCCACAGCTTTAAGCTCAGCTCAAATACCTAGGGGCACATGAGCAGGAAACCAAGTGAAAAGACTTCTTACTGTTAACTGACAACTTTCTAAAATGTTCTTTCAGATTCTCCAGGAACATGAACTAACTGCTGTAGAACCACTAAGGCAAAAACGAGCAGGTATGTACATTTGGCTCGCATGGTGGTCTCTTTTGTAAGTCCAATCAAATGAAATGTGTTATAACTTTTTAAAAACACTATGGTCTCCATAATTCAGTCTCTAAGAACATCAGAGTCAAACAGTGCAGTTTGATTGCCAAAAGTACAAAGGAACTCCGTTTTCTACTTGATCAAATGAATAAATGGATCATTGCAACATATTTCGATCCTCTTTCCTCTCTCATCTTCCTATCCCCAGGGCCTCCCTGTGGCTCTCTCTTCAACTGTCCCCCAGCACCACTCAAAAGTCTGTTTCTGTCCTCCCAACCCAGCAACTTCTTCTTCTCATCTTTTAAAAATTTCTCTCGTTCAATCCTTTGTGAACCAACCTAACTAACCACTAGATTCCAGTCTTTCTCCTATTTCCCACTCTAATTTTCCACTAAACTGCAAAGAAGTAGTCTGGAAAATATAAGACTCTGTCCTTTGGAGAGTTTGGATTATGGAGAGCTGTAACCATGGACAGAAACACTGATCTTTGTGTCTTAGCCTGTTTTTTGTAGCTATAAAGAAATATCTGAGACCAGGTAATTCATAAAGAATAGGAGTTTATTTGTCTCACAATTCTGAAGGCTGGCAAGTCTGAGAGCATAGCATCTGGTGGGTAGCTTCCTGTGTGTCATGACACGGTAGAGGGCATCACATGGTGAGACAGAGGAAGGTGCTAACTTGAGTCTCTGTTGCTCTTCTTAAAAAGCTACTAATGCTATCAGAGGACCCCATACTCATGACCTCATCTAATCCTAATTGTCTCTCAGAGGTCCCACCTTTAAATAACATTAACATCTAAATAGACAGATTATACTTCCAACACATGAACTTCTGGGGACACATTTGAATCATAGCATTTGGCATCTGGTCCCAAGTACATGACCCTGCAGAGGTGTCAATGCACATCTACAGGCTGGATTCCTGGGGCCCCGGTCTTCCCATCTCCATCAAATAAACTTTTCAGAGAAATGAACCTGTCATTTCTCTCCATAAAGGCCTTCATGAGCTTGGGAGTGACTTAGAGCTAAAAGCCAATCATCTGTTCATAGCTCCTGGGGGTCTTCTGAAATGCTTTCTCCATTTGATCACCTTCTGTTCCCTTTCACATGGACGGTTGCTGCCTGTCATCTCCATTTGCTTGGCTGGAGGACTCCTGCTTACATCCCAAATTTCCTGAGCTCCTGCTGGGCGAGAACTTCCATCCACCCATTCCCCAGACTGTCAGGGATGCTTTCCCTGGATTCTTATCACCCTTGAAACATTTCCTATCTCTGCATCTGCCCCAGCCCATTGTAAAGATTGTACTTCCTGTGTGCCATCCCTAGTAGTTGGGTGCTCCCTTGAGTCCTCTTCAGTCTCTGTAGCCTGGCATCGAGCCCAGTTCCTCCCTCGGAGCAAACAAATGAAAACCTCACATGTGTATGCCCTAGCTATCTCTTTCTGAATTTCTATTGGTAAATGTCTGCAGGCCAAAGGGCGGTGCCTCCTCTCTGGGAGATGAAACTTCTTAACCTATCCCATTATGACTGAATCATTTTTAGGCATATTGCAACTTGATTTATTTAGCTTCATGTTTTATTTAGCTTCGTGTTCCAAAAGAGACACAAGAATGCTAAAGAGAGCAGCAGCCTTGCCCTGAGGTCAAAACACAGGTGTCTGTGAGAGCTCTTCATGTGTCAGTAGCCAGACCCAACTGTTGCTCAGGGATGGAAATGAGAAATGGACCACAATTTATTAAACCCTCAAAATGCTCACTGGAAAGTCCTAACACTGCTGGGATACCCTCCCTCTTCTCCCTGCCCTGACCCTTCTCTCCTCTCCCATCCTCCCCTTCCCTTTCTTTGTCTCCTCTCTGATCCTTTACTTTTCTTTTCCTTCACTTAGTCTTCATTCTGTTATACTAGCATAATCCAGAGGGTCCTCTCCTTCCCTGAAGTGGCCTGTCATAGCTAGAACTTACTGTGCTTTGACACAGATATCATTGCCGCTTCCCCTCTGACAACCCCCTTGAGCATTTTTGTACCCTGTGATGGGTACAGAGCCAGAGATGTGCAATTTGGGGTTTTGAAAGACTTTTTTTTTTCAATGATACAAAGGACTGAACCCAGGGGCACTTTCACTGAGCCACATCCCCAGTCCATTTTTATTTGTTATTTTGAGACAGGATCTCACTAAGTTGCTCAGAGTCTCATTAAATTGCTGAGGCAGGCCTTGAACTTGAAATCTTCTTGCCTTAATCTCCTGAGTTATTAGGATTACAGCTGTGACCCACCACACCTAGCTTGAAAGACTTTTATTATTATTACTAATCAAATTCTTTTTAAAAATATTTATTTTTTAGTTATAGTTGGACACAATACCTTTATTTCACTTATTTATTTTTATGTTGTGCTGAGTGAGGATCAAACCCAGGGTCTTGCACCTGTGAGGCGGGCACTCTACCACTGAGCCACAACCCCAGCCCCTTAATCAAACTCTTTTGTGGGTGAGCTTCAGCTCTGTCTTTTTACCAAGTTCTTCCAGGGCTCAGGCTGCTGGCATCCTCAGAAGCAGTTTTACCCCACAGCTGCAAAAGGTAATTTTCCCTGTTCTCCTGAGCCTGATGTTTATGGGACCCACTGTGGCAGTGGGAGGGGTAGCCAGTGGGGAAGAAACTACCTCCATATCTAAGAATTTGACATTCCAAAACTTTTCCAGGCATGCTTTCATTACAAAACAATTATGACAATGATAAATCACCCTGAAAATATGTTTTCCATTTATTATACATGGTCCTCTGAGCTCTTGGGCCTCTCAAGTCATTTGGGAAGTGTTAATGAGTCAGCCCATCATCTGCAGAAGATGGATTGGACTTGGTACTTTTACAAAATCACTGAAGTAAGAAATGACCATAGAAAGGCTCATTGCAAGGCCCCTGAAATCAGGAATGTAAGTAGCAATAAAGAGCCTGGCTTTCCAGGACAGTGACAAAAGGAAAGAACAGGAGCGCTTCCTCTAGCAGGATGCCATGTGAAGGTGTCTCTGTTTTTTGGGGGTGCCAAAAAAGTGAGGTGCTGGGTCTGGGCTCTAATCCTGAGTGGCATTCCCTTTCCTGTATGTATGTATGTATATGTATATATATATATATATATATATATATATATATATATATATATATATATATCCCCTTCTGAAGGCTTCATGATAGTCACAAGCATATTAAGTTTCCAAGAAAAAGAAAATAGGTCAAGAATTTTCTTTTGAGCTTCTGGACCAAATATTTAGAGTTTGGGATTAAATCATATTTAAAGGTAGAATAAATTTGTATTTATTTTCAATATAGTATGGACTTCAACCTAAGTCAGTTGCACAGTCTCACTGACCTCCTAAGAAACACATGCGTGCGTGCACACACACACACACATACATATCATATATACATCACATATATATGTCACATATATGTTATATATTGGCATCTCACACCTACCCACACAATTTATTACAGTCATAACCTTACAGGGTTTTTTGCTTTTGTTTGTTCATTTTGTTTCATTTTGGTACTAGGGATTAAACTCAGGGCACTTAACCATTGAGCCACATCCTCAGCCTCCTCTCACCCCCTGCCTTTTTTTTTAACAGGGTCTCCCTAAGTTGCTAAGAGCCTCACTAAGTTGCTGAGGCTGGCTTTGAACTTTCTATCCTCCTGTCCCAGCCTCTCAGGCTGCTGGGATTACAGATGTGCCACTGTGCCCAGCTCTTTATACAGTTGTTGAGAAGATTAAATGATGTTATTTTGTACATACTACTTTGGAAATGTTAATAGAATTATCTGGGGTTTATTTTCTTCTTTTTAATAATTTTTTTAAATTAAAAACAAAGTCAATAGGCCGGGCCTAGCACAGAGGGGTATCCTGATCAGTTCCAGATCACTACTTGAATATGGAAAAATGGGTGCCATGACATAGGACTTAGCATTTCGGGAAAACTCTTTCCCAGTGCTACTGGGAATAGAAACCTGCATACAAACCCAGAGACCAGAGATAAGAATAAGTGTGGAACAGCCTGTGAGAGCAGTGTGGCTGGTGGGGGCAGAGGGACAAGCATGTGTGGAAGCCTGAAGAGCTACATCAGCAAGTGCATCCTTGCTGGCTGAGAGGCTGGCACAGAGAGTGACTGATAAAAGCCACACGATTCCAGTGATTATGGATGGATTAGATGAAGAAATTATTGCCTGAGAGACCAACTAGGAGATTCAGCAGCCTGGACATGGGTCCCTGGCTATGGAGAAAGATAAAAAAGAAACAGAGGATACACCTGCCTAAGACCAATTGAGAAATGGCACCAAAGGGCTGGAGTCAACGTGACTGGCTGGGGGTAAAGGTGAGCAATGGTCCAGATGACTGTCCAGGAGAGCACAAATCTGGGACCCTGTGTGCTGAGGAGGCCACAGGAAGAGGCCTGTGTTGGAAGGAAAGGCTTACTGTAGAGGTCTGCAGAAAAGCTCAAAATTAAGTCTAAAGGGGAATCTTCACAGTGGACTGAAAATGGACATTTCTTACTGCTTAGCACTAGCACAAATGTCAGTTGCAAAAGTTCTTCACCCTGGGTCTCAGAGCTTCATTGGGAAGCATGTCTCAGAGACTGGCCCTGAAGAGACCCCATTGGTTTTTCTTTGGCTTCCCAAGGACTGACTGGTGGGAAACAGAGGACAAGGGTGAGTGGAGTCCAGCCTGGGGGGGCAGGATGCCCAGAGCCTGTACTGGCTGGGTGACACTTCTTCACCTTTCAGTCAGAACCAGGTCCCTACAAGATCAGGTCACCAGCTGCCCATACGGAAATCCTGACTTTTCAGTAGACCTGGCAGTGTGGGTCTGCTGGCCTTTTTTGATGTGGGGCCAGGAAATGCTGAGCATTTCCCAGTTTGAGGAACAGAGTTTGGGTTTCCGTGGCTATCATCTTTCCTGTGATAACACATGGTGCTCTGTGCTCTGGTGGTAGAATGAGTTGGAAGGCTCTGGGCTCTCTGACTAGTGTGTGTGTTGGTTTGGAGCTTGACATTGAATATTAAGACTGTTTTATAACTTCCCATTCTTGTGGTTGTACATGAAGTGGAGTTACACTGGTTGTGTATTCACATATGAACATAGGAAAGTTCTGTCTGATTCATTCTACTCTTTCCAATTCCCATCCCATTCCCCTTCATTCCTCTGTCTAATCCAATGAATTTCAATTCTTCCCCCTCCCTTATTGTGTGTTAGTAGGAATCCAATTCCTTAACAACATCTGTTCAGAAAAATGTTACTCTGAATTTACAGATGAACAAAGTGTAGCTCACAGCATTTAAACAAGTGGCCCAGGAAAGAAGACCTTCCATTCTGCTCTCTGAAGCTCCAAAGTACAAGTCAAAGTACAGTTTTCAACATGTGGTTCTGGTTCTTGCCTATGTGGTCCCATTTCATGACTCTTAGGGCAGCTTCGTAGAGTGAAAAGGCCTCACAGACCTGTTTCAACTCACTAGGTCTGTCTCGTCTCACTTTATGTGGGGCTAACTTGGATGTTTGGGGTTCATGGTTAGCTGGTAGACTTGATCATCTGCTCCAGACTTCACAATCCAGGGTTCTATGATACACGGTGCCAACCTCCTCCTCCATCCACACCTGCTGGGTAAACCATAGACTGGAATTCTGGCATTTCCTTCTTGTGTGAACAAACCTTTCTAAAACCCAAAAGAGAATAGATCCTTTGTATCTGCCGGTGGCAAGGTGTGATATAGACAACTGCAGTAAATCACCACCTTCTATCAGGATAAAGAAGCATTGTCCCTTTGGTCACCAAGCTCCTTTCTCTAGGGTGAAGTCAGCAAGCTTCCTTCATCGGCAGGTAGGAAATTAATTTATGCATCTGCTGAGGCTCTGATTCTGAGAAGCCACTGTTCCCACCAGCGTTGCTAGGCAAAAGTAGTATTGTTTGCTTAAACAGCTGTGATTAAGACACAGAACTGCTTGTTGCCCTTTGTGGCCAATTTTCCAGAAATGTCTCTTTAAGATAAGTGGTATGAGGTTGGCAGTGACTTATGGGAAAGGAGAGGGGAAATCCTGGTAGGTTTGTGCCTCCTGGGCTTGTGATACGCCTATGTCTATGGATGCTGACCCCTGGGATTGGCTGCCTTCCACTGAAGGGCATTGGTGAGCCAGAAAAAGTCAGACAAACAACACAGGGGGCAAAGGAGACTGAGGGAAAACACACACACACACACACACACACACACACTAAACTGTCAGCAGTTGCAGAGGAGGGTGAAGGGCATCTAACATACACAGGCAGAAGTGGGAGAGCTGTTCTTTGTTCTTCCTGGGTCCTTTGCAGCCTGGAACAGGACAAGGAGCATCACTTTTCCAGGCTTGGAAGTTCCTGGGTTGAAAGAGCATAGGAAAGCAGGGGCTGGCATTTCCAACTGAGTTTCTGGGCCTGTTTGAGGGGACTGAGACAGTGTGCTGCTGACCCCCTCCCACATGGGGCATGCTGACCCCTGAGCATTGGGGCTACCTCCTACACATACAGGTGGTCCTTCTGGATCCTTGATGCTGTTCTAAGGTCTAAAGGTGATGAGAAGGAATGACCCAAAGAGGAAGCATGTCTGCTTTAGCCCTCAAATGAGCCTAGAGGGTTGCCACTCAGGACTTTCCTGCTCCTTTGCCCTTCTGAGAGTGATGTTCTCCCAATGGCTTTCAGGTTCACCGCTCACTTCGAGTCTCTATTCAAAGTTTACTACTTTAGGAAGGTCTTTTCTGATCATGCTACAAAAATTAACTCCCCACCCCATGATCCCTGTCATTCTGTCTGTTTGTTCTTCTTTATTTTTCTCCTACAGAGCTGCCTGATGTAAGAATGCAAACTTAATCATTGGCCCCAGCATAAGAATGAGAGATTCATGAAGTCAGGATTTTGTGTCTTTGACTAATACAGTGCTCCCAGCACCTAGCACAGTGCCAGGAAATGGACACCTAAGAAGTAGAATAACTACATATAAATCAATAAATCAAGGAACAAACAAACTAACCTGGCAAGACTTACTGACAAATCCATGTGCACTGATAACAGCGGGTCATGATACTTTTCTCCTGACTGTGGATTTCTAGATTTATTATGGTCAAAAAACATGAATAAAATTTTTCATGGTTCATCCATTTATTATGAATAATTTTAGTTTTTGAGCTTGATTTTATTTAATAACTTATTTTAGGAATTCTTAATTTCCTTTAAGGCTATATTTAACAATGATACCTTATATTTTTATGCTACTTTGGACTTTACACAATGATTAGGTTTGTTATCTTCTTCATTGTGGTAGGTTATGATTGAAAGAAAACACACTTAGGATTCAGAAAATTGTGCTTGTGAATCCCAGCTCTCCCACTCATTATCCTGTGCCTTCAACTCTGTGAATCTGCAACATGGAAGTGTATGCATACTGTCCTTGTGGCCCCAGAGACTTCTGGGTGATGAACAGATGGCACCTGCTATTGTCATTGTTACTGTTATTGTCATTGCCTTTGATTTGCCCAGTATCATTGGGTGATGTGAAGGATAAGTAGGTATCAGCTCCCTTCAGGCACAAGGGGGCTGCACAGGACCCAGGAATTGATAATGTGCTGAGATCCGACTCTGTGATGCAGCCATGTAGACAGATGATGAAGAGTGTGATAAGGAATCGTTATTGACCCCACCCATCCCAAACAGCCACTGTCCAGGAAATCCTGTTTATACTTACAGAAGGACAGGCTTCAGCAAAGAGGATCCTGAAGCTAGTGAGGGATAAACATCACTGCATTACTTTTTAGGAAAAAGAATGTGCTCCAAGGCAAGCTTTGTAAATATCAGGCAGCTGCCCTCTTTGCAGATGTCCCCAGTGGGCAACATAATGTGACCAGGGTTAAACTCACAAATTATGATTAGCAGTTCTTCCAGGAAGCTTACTTTCATTACAGAACCATTTGAACATCCAGAAGAAAACAGGAAATTGGAGGCAATGCTGTAGTATCCCAACAGACTGAGATCCTGTATTGTTTTAAAACGTATAATCCATCTTTATAAGTATACAAATATATCATAAAATGCATTCCTACAACATCTATCTGCACAGACCTTTTCTATAGTTTGAGTTAATTACAGAGATTTCAATGATGCCCAAGGAAATAATACTCAACAAAGTCAATGGGTAAAACCAACCTCCTAGGATAAACATAGTTTACAACTCCAAGGGAATAAATGAGGCAGAACAAATAATGCAGCTTTCTGCAATAAACATTTAACAACTGGAGTTTCCCATAATAAACTTTCTCATAGTGTTTCACATCAATAGTCCTGAGACTATTCAAAATAAATCTTACAATATTATGGGGAAAAAATGTTGTCTTTTAGAAAGGAGATATCAAATTTTAATTTTATGGCAAAATACATACCATGCTTTCAGATTTGATGTAAATTTGAAAGTAATAATTTTGCAAGTAGTTACTGCTGCCCCCATCTCGTTTTAAAATATTCTCAATGCATGTGTGTGAAACAGTCTTAATTTTTGGCCTTTCTTTATAAACTACAAGCTGAGCCCATAGCTTCTGTTTAGTTATATATTATAGCCAAGACAGGGTCAAAGATTTTCTTGGTGACAGAGAGGTGAGTCTATGAGTAGATTCAGAGAAGCAGACTTCATAAGGATTGGGCGTGTATCCATTAGCTGGTGAGCCCCAGACCCTTTTGGTGAGTAAGGTCATGAGAAGTGGAGGAAACAGTTCTTGCCCTTGGGAAGCTTACCAATAATGACTGAGACATGATGTAATATAGGAAACCAACAAAGAACTATTCTAAGATTATACATTGTATACATAGTCTGTCCAGCCTGGAGTGGGTGTGTGTTGGGGAGCAGATCCCTTTAGAATGCTAGCAGGCAACTACCTGGAGACAATTCTGGGAAGCAATGAAGAACTAGAAATCTCTTTTCTTTTGATTTTCCAATTTGCCAGATTTTTGTCAATTGTGTTCTGGACATTGGAGATATACAAAGGAAGAACAAAGAGCAGATGTTCTGGGTGCATAGGCTAAGGGCAAAAGAAGTTAGCAAGGTGACCTTTCCCAGAGGTCTTCATGTATGGTTCAGCTCTTAGAATGTGTGTATGTCAACTGAAAGGTGCGGGAAACACACTGGCTCATTCCCGCAGGTCAGGATGGTGACTTTCATTGTCTAAACTGTTGCCAGAGTCTCCCTGGTGGTTCTTCCTGCTTCCATTCTTGCCCGTCATGGTTCATTCTCCACACAATGCTCCTTGACCTTGGACACCAAGATCCAGAGTTAGTAGAAAGTAGACAAACTCATCTTTTTCTCTTAGTGGGTTCATTAGAAATTCTCATGGGCTGATGTACCCAGCATCCATACATACCTTTAACTGATCTGTCATGATTTCTCTCCATGTCCATGGGAAGTCCTCACAACCTTTGTGTGCTTGCATTTCAGTTGCCACAAGTGGTCCCGCCATGGAAGAGTACACTGTTGATATTGAGATCAGTTTTGAAAACACATCCTTCGTGGAGTCTATCAGAGCTCGCTTGAACAGCCTCAGTTTTCCAATTCAAGGAAACAACACTGACCCAGCTACTGATATTTTAAGCATAGAGCTGACAACTGGTGAGTAAGACACCCAAAGCTTTAGAATGGATGGTTGGGTGTATCAGGAGAAAAGCTAACTGAGATCCTTATTGTTAGGGCATGTTATACTTAGTACGCAAGGGAAATGACTCAACAGGTCTACTGGTGTGATTTTATGACTTAACAGCCTCCCAGAATAAACTCCTATCAGTAAACTCTGCAGCCAGAGTTTCCTTCTTTGAAGTGGTTTGCTTGGTAGTCTCTCTGATGGTTGCCGTGAAGTTCCAAGATATGACTAGATCCTTCGTGATAAACTATTGGACCCTCTGCCCCAGGGCAATCAATGGGTATAGCAAGGACAGTTTCAGGATATTAATAAGTATCAAATTCCTTTCTTTTTGGAATCATAGGTCAGGAAATAGAAGCCAGACACATATCTGGATCAGAAGCAAGGAATTAAGCAGAACCTCTCAGGCCTTGGATTGGTTACTGACTCACTTCCAAAGTCATGCCATCTCCTTTGTGTCTCAGGGAACCATCACCAGAGACTTAGTGTCCCAAAGGGGCCATGAGATGAGGCTTCCCATTGTCCTAAAAATGTTACTGCTCTGTAAACTGGAAAGCACTAACAGATGTTGAGTTTTATTATTCTAAAATGAAGACAAGAATAAAATTCTTATTTTTCAATTCTCATTTTTATGTCAATCCCCATAAAGGTCTTTCTTTTTTCATTTTTGATTCTAAGTATATGCTAATGGAATCTGACATAGCTCCCTTAAAGCCCCTTTGAATACCATGTTTCAACAAATTCTACCATGGAATTAATTTCCTTGAGTTAGTGGTTTTCTGGATTGGATGTCAATATGTGGGTCCTCCAGCAATGGTGAGTTTATTCTGTTTCCCAAATGAATTTATGCATAGAGTTCTTTCTCTATAGAATAGCTCATAAAACTCTTTGGGACATATATAGGAAACACCCCTCTCTGTTCTTGCTCAACACAGATTCTCTGCCTCTGAAATTATTTTTTTCTATTTATAGGAAAAAAATTAAATACTGGATAGATTTTTAAACACTTTTGTTTTTCTTCCCAACTTTTTATGAAAACCTTTGGTGTCTGTAGTGCTATAAAGCAAATTTTGTAAATAAAATAGACCAGTAGATATCCAATAAATAAGTGATTTTTAATCGAATACCTTGTGATCATGGACACTTGGTCAGTAGGTTAGTTCATATCACATGTGCTCAATATAAACATATGAGCAAACTGTCTCACATTTCTTTTATTCTATTAGAGCTGATGTGACTTCAAAGGACTTTATAATTTAAACAATTTTGGAAACTTGAATTAACAAGTTTCCCTTTTAAAATGCAATTGCCCTTGGAAAGTGTAATCTGTCCTTCCAGAAAGACTGGTCATGCACACATTAAAGAGTGAATTCTTTCTGATATCTAACTGTGAAGGAGATCTGCCAAAACAAAACAAAACAAACAAACAAAAACATGCTTCAGCTAGGCACAGTGGCGCATGCCTATAATCCCACTGACTTGGGAGGCTGAGACAGGAGGATTGCCAAGTTCAAAGCCAGCTTCAGCAAAAGCGAGGTGCTAAGAAACTCAGTGGGATCTTGTCTCTAAATAAAATACAAAATAGGGCTGAGGATGTGGCTCAGTGGTCGTATGCTGCTGAGTTCAATCCCCAGTACAAAAAAAAAAAAACAACTATGGTTCAACAGAGCAGAAAGAGCCTGAGACTCATGAACCTCAGGACCAGCAGAGAACAGCCAAGGAGAGTTTGCCTCAAAGGGAATGGGGAGAGTGTGTGATTCGGGTCAGGCTTGTGGGCTTTGCTACTGATTTCTGAGAACCATTGTCCTCTTCCCATACAACGGCTTTCCTTATGATCCTTTCCAAAAATTCAGTTTTATTAATAGTGAATAACTGAGGATGTTTAAGGTTATACAGTGTGTGTAAAGCAACTAAACAACACCTAGAATAGTAGTAGTTGGTTTGGAAATGACAGCTTTGTCATTCCCCCAAGCCATGATTGCATTGTACACAGGTGTCTAAAGTCTTTCAAATATTTCTCCTCATCTCTTTTCTTCCCCAAAATAAAAAAAAAAAAAACAACACTTTAGCAGTGAAATTTCAGGACAACAAGAGATTTTGACAAAGAGATTCTTTTTGATTCTCTTCAAATTACCCCCATCCATTGCCTGCCACCCACATATAATTTCTTCTGTACCTCACACTTCTGCCAACTCCAACCTACTGCTGGGAGACAGGATTGTGTCGTGTTCAAGGAATAATTGGAACTTGCCTGTCCTTCCTATTTCAGAAATGACTATTTGATAGCTTTCATTTGCATAGGATTTGGCCAGGTTATCCTTTGCAGAATGGACAGCTTCGAATGAGAGGACTTTGGACCAGGTTTACAAACCGACTTAAAAGCACTCTGTTTTCACAGCATTTTTGATGTTCCCGCTGAGATCAGAGTCCATTTGGCCTGTTCACACTTGAATGTAAAAGGCTCAAATTTATTTTTCTTCTGTATCTGTTATCTGCTGCTGCATAACAAGTTACCCTAAACCTTAGCATTGTAAACCAACAGAACTATTTATCTTGAAGTTTCTGACAGAAATCTGGGAGCAGCTTAGTTGGATGCTTCTGATTCAAAGTCTCTCATGAGGTTGTAATTGAGCTGTCAGCTCGAGTTGAAGTCATCTGGAACTAGAAAATCCACTTCCAAGTTCACTTATGTGGTTGCTGGCAGCCTGTAGTTCCTTGCTACCTGTCAGCTAAAGATCTCAGTTCCTTACGACGTGGACCTCTTCATGACATGTCTTCATGCCATGGTAGCCAACTTCCCCCAGGAAAATGGAGAGAGAGAAACAGAGAGGAACAAGCCAGAGGAAAGCTGGAGTCTTTAATATCCTAATTTCAGAAGCTCCATACCATCATTTCTACCATATTCCATTGGTCACATGGGGCCACCCTTGTACAGTAGAAGAGAGCACTCGAAAAGAGTGTGAATACCCAAAGGCAGGGGTGGGCAGGGGCCTTCTTGGAGGCTGGCTCCCACCGACTATGTCCTAGAATCTGTTTATCATCATAGATATATGGTGGTCATTTGCTATTAGGCAAGACCCACCAGAAGATGACTCTACAGTCATCAGTCACTCAATAATTTCATCACCATCTTTCTGATGGCCATGCCTGATGGCATTGTGGGGCATATGTGCGTTCAGGAATTTGTGCAATCCTATGAAATTTCCCAGAAGAGCAATATAATAAGTCAAGTTAGGATTTCCTACCAGTACAGATACTTGCAGTCTATAAATGCAAATGTGGTGACTACCTTCTCTGTCCTCCTCTTCCTGTTGATGATAGTATGCAGGCCTACTGGAAATGAGATCTGGTGCTCCTGCGAGACAGGCTATGGGTGGCCTCAGGAAAGGTGCCTCCACAGTCCCACTTGTCAAGAGCAAGGCAGCTCTCTCCCAGGGCACCGCTGCAGTTGCCTTAGGGGACTTCCTTCAAAGGGACCTTTCTGCCAGCTCCAGGGAGGTAAGTACCTTCTCATGAATATTGTTGGAGTGATTCAACTTCAGCTGAGGCAGATGTTTCTCTGTATTCAAACATCAACATGAGATTTTCAAGTATTGCTCTGTGTTGTTCAGCAGATGTTACCCTGAGAATGAAGGTCAGACTAAATGTGGAATTTCCAGCAGACCTTAAGAACACATCCTCTGCCCTCTATAGGTCCTACAAGACCGACCTGGAAAGAGCGGTACGTTTTGGCCCCAGGAAACTCTCAAACCAACAAAGTGTGTGTGCAGAACTGAGTTCATTTTATTCATAGTAGACAGTAATCTATGGTATGAATTAGAAGTATTTCATATCCATCTTGGATGGCGAATTAAAAAGTATTTGAATCAGTGTTCAGGAGACATTGTGGTCAAGAAATCAGCTTAACCTATAAGTAGAACTTCTTCTCAAGGTGGATCTGATTCAGATAAGATTTGGTGGCATTGATTCACTAAAATCTATTCAGAGGCCCTGGTCTAGAAACATCAATTGTTTCATTTCTATTCTTCACACACCACATGTATAAGAATCCTAACATCTGGTGAGCAGACCAACCTCAGAGCAAGCTCAAACTGCTTCAAGCTTCTTTATGCTACAGGTCATTAGACACTCACACGAAAGACAATTTAAATTTAATCATGTAAAAAAGGATATATCCCGTGAATGCTAATCCACTGCCAGATGCTCTTCTAAAGTGCTCTGCCAGATGCTCTTCTAAAGTGCTCTGCACTAGATCAACTGTAAAACCTTAATGCTATTTCTGAGTTAAACTCACTTGAAACAGCTTCCCAACTGGTGTAGTGCAGATTATTCAGGTGGCCTGAGGTAATGACTTTCTATCACTCTCAGGGCAGCTAAATCCCTGCTTGGGGCCGGAAGCAGCCTCTTGCTTAACCCAGTGGGCCATATAAATATTGTCATTTTCCTTGGGTGCCATGATGGAGTGCTTACCCAGAAGAACTCTTGGACCTCTGATTTGCATATCTGGCATGTCATAATTCTACATAGAAGGAAGCCCTTTTCTCATATACCAAAGAGAGGGTTACATGTTAACCTTTGGATCTCATCCGCACAGGTACCCTACATTCCTACCATGTAACTTCTTTGTATATGGTAGCTGCCTGTAAATTTAATTTGGGTCAAATAGAATCTCCTGTGGGGTTGGTGTTTAGAGGAACAACATGGGATAAAAACATCATCAAAAGCTATATGAGCTCAACTAGTGTAGCAATATCATCAAATGAGGAGCAGGTACTGAGGTGGTCTCCCATATGTCCCTCCTGGCCCTTCAGCTGCATGGGGATGTGGTTGAGTCCCAAGTGCTCTCTCTGGTACCCTTGATGGCATTTGCTTCTTCTTAATGATGAATGAGCTCAGTGACCTGTGTCAGATACGGAGACTCCTTAGAAGGACTTATTTGGACTTCCCTGGCTCAGCCTAGGATGGTTTTATTTAACCTTCCTTATCTCTTCCACATAGGACCCAATGGCTCTCCCTGCCTTCCCCACTCCCCATCATTTTCTTTCCTGGGCATCTGTCTGAGCAATTTTTTTTTTTTTCACATTTAATCTTGTGTGTACTTCTCCAAGAACCCAGACTGACATAGGTGGTCAGGAAATGCTTTCTTAAGGATCCCCTAATGCCAAAATATAAAGAAGAAAATTTTACCCAGGGTGATAAGCAACATGGGCTTTCTACTGGATTTGAAATCTTTTGTGTCTCACATCAGCCTCTAAAACATGATACTCATCTTGCCTTATTTTCCAGTTCCAGGAGGGTTACAGAATTTTACCAGGCTTCAAATCGGTGACTGTGACAGAGTTCACGTAAGAGTGCTATAATTTGTTCATTTCTATTTGATGGCAGAGATCAGCATGTCAGTGAAGGAGGAAAGAAAACCATTAGTGGGCATCATGTGGAATGCTTAGCAAGAACAGTTTGTTAGACATGAAGACAAAAGCCAGATTATAGGGGTTAAAAGGGAAATGAGACACTGAGAAGAGTACTCACCCCTTACAGATACACCTATATAAAAGTAAGGACAGAAAAAGATGTGGCCACTTTATGTGTGCAAGCATTTTGCAAAGAGATAAATTTTCAGTCTAGAGAGTTTAGAAATTTAAAAATAAAATAATGTTATATACCAATGCCTTTATGCAAGAAAATTCTTGCCAGCCAGTCAGGACCCCAGAGTTGCATGCTTGTTCCCCTTGGAGTTGGGTACCCTGTAGCCTTGAGTGGATTTTCACACTATTTTGAGGACTTAGTTGCAAATCTTAAAAAATCAGGAATCTGTATGGGAACATCCAGGGTTTGGGCTTCATTAACATTCCATGTATCTGGTAAGGCCAAACTCCCTGTGTGACAGCCATCAGCAGGTTTTGCTTGGTGGCTGGCTCCCATGACCAGGGGGTGGGACTCTGTTCATTAATTCCCACCTGCAAGTTTTTTCACCTGTCTTACCTGTTTGCAGACTTTTGGGTATGCAAGCTCTGCCTAGGGTTTTCATCCAGAGTTTGAAGATAGGTTTCTTTTGGTGATTTCCTGAGCATAATAGCCCCCAGGTGGTTCCTGCTATTTGTTTTCCCATGCAAATAAATCACAAACATCTAGATTCTTCCAGGTGAATTGCTGCTTTACTAAACTAAGTGTCTCTATTCAGCAAGGGCAGTGTGAGTGTGTCATATGAAGTCCAGAGTAAAACACCACCACCTGGATTAATTCAGAAAGCCAACGAGCAAGTCATGCAGACTCTTAATCAGACCTACAAAATGGACTACAGTTCCTTTCAAGGGGTGCCTAGTAGTAAGTGAAACCTTGCTACATTTTCCCATCTGTAGATTCCATCTAGATGGTAATGGTGTTGATGGTTATGCTTAAACCTTGAAAATCATTATGATATATTCTGTGGAGAAAGACTTTCTGGTTCCTGGCACATAGGATTATGTGCCATCTCCCCCTCTCTAATCAATACTTCTCAACTTGGCTTGTGTCACTGCATTGGGATATAGGGGAGAGGGGAGCAGGGAACTTCCAACAGGGCCATCTATTTCAAGAAGAAGCCTTCTGAAAGAAGCCTTCTAATGTAGCAAGAAGTTTGAGAGCCACTGCTTTACATCATGTGGTGGTAAATTGTTTTTTGTTTGTTTGTTTGTTTTGTTTTGCTTTAGATGTTCTCCCCACTTTACAAATGGGGTTCAAAGTTGGGCTTTGGTGTGTCTGAAGGACACAAAACCTATTGTTAGTTGGCAGCTAGTAAGTGAACCCAGGAGAGCAAGATAAACATAGGAGTCGGCCAGCAGATGTTCTGCATAACTCAGGTCTGCAGTCTGGAGCAAAGGCAATAGCTCTTCGGAATCTAGTATGGGGGCAGATACTGACAGGATGGTGTAGGCACAAACAAAGGAAAAGGCCCCTTGGTCAGGAGTCAGGTCAGCTTCACAGAAAGTTTATATCCTATGTTTATGTTCTCTGCACATACTTTCAAACATTACGTCATTTTTTAACATAAAATATTCTAAGTGATAAAACTAGCTAAGGAAAGTATGAGAAATATGTATAATGTTAGAATGTAATATAATATAAATAGCGAAAATGAAAATTCAGACTAAATAAGACAGTAAAACATAAATAAAAATCAGAAAATTAAAGAAAAGAGAATAAGTGGCCTGAAAATCTGGCTCACATAGATGCAGTCTCAGCAATACCACCCTCCCCTGACCGTAACACCAACTGGCCAACAAACAGATGTGCTTTCTCTGCCCTGAAGAGTTCCTTTCGTTCATCATACCAAGGGCTCAGGAGAGTAGCAGATTTTTGCATAGTTAAATTGCAGGTGTGATTTCTCTTTCCCCAAAATTGCAGTCATGTGGAGGATAGGCAGCCATATAAATGAATAAGTGCCCAGGTTTTAGTTGTTGGACTCACTGTCCATCTGGGCACATGCTGCTGATAGTCCAGTTCATGTGGTGTATTTGCATCCATGACTTGAACTTCCAAAGAGCAATGGAGTCATTGAAAATGGCACTAAACATCCTCTCACCCCTACACAGAGTCTATATCCATCTCTGTCCTCCCTCAAAGACCAGAGTGGGATTCTGTGATATGCAGAGCCTAGAGCAATAAACATGAACTGGTAGCACACTCAATTCCACAGGGAACTCAGATGCCCTCCTCCTCTCCACAGTGTAGGTAGTGTTAATCCAGAACACAGACATCCCAAAACTCATGTTACTGCATGAAAATTTTCTCCTCCTCCTCCCCCTTTCCCCTCCCCCTCCCTCTTCGACCTCCCTCTTTCCTCTCCCCCCTCCTCCTCCTCCTCCTCCTCCTCCTCCTCCTCCTCCTCCTCCTCCTATTCTTCTTCTTCTTCTTCTTCTTCTTCTGATGATGATGATGATGATGATGTGGGCATGAGTAGGAGAGAAAGAGGGCAAGAAAGAAGAATGTTGAATGAATGAGTTGGTATCAGGAACTTAGTTTTAAATCCATCTTCACAAGATGCAAAAGGTACATGGCGTCTTTAGAATAGATCCATTTACTTTGTCCTACATTAATCCTCTGGTGATACTTTATTAAACAACAGCACACTTGTTCTTAATTATTCCTGCTAAATTTATATTAAATTCCATTTAACCATATAATATTGGAAGTTCCATGAATTTTACTTATTAACCATAATCGTAATGAAAACAGGGACATTTACCACATCTTTTTTTTATTAATTCTAGAGTGTTACTTCTATTTCATATTCACATGTCCTGTGAGATAGATGTCATTATTCCCATTTACAGATGAGGAACTGGAGGTTGATGGAGGGTGAATGACTCACCCAAGGACACATAGCCAATACCTCAAGTTTGTATGACTTCAAAGCTAGTGCACTACATTAAATACTCACAGATGGTTTTGCTTCCCAATAGTTAAATGAGATTTTAAAAAAGAAATCTTATTTTAACTAGTGGTCTTAAAGAAGTGGTAAGATACTAATATTTTGACTAGAACATCATACTACCCAAAATTAATTTTATGGTGACTTATTCCCATATTTATTATCTATAGAGGATCTTTCCTGGGCTTCAGGCCCCACTCCTCTGGTTTTCTCAACACATGTAAGTCATGTCATATAAGGAAAGGGCATCCACACAAAAATGGATACAAAGATAACCAACATGATGTTTTTATCTGTGTAATGACAATGCAGTGATTCCCTGGAACTTACTACCATCACAGTAATAATAGCTGCTGATTTCCCAAGTCCCCTCTCAAAGTGATTTTCACTGTTCTCATTTTCCAGAAAACGGAGCTGAGGTTGAGTGAGGCCAAGCAGGTTCCCCAGGTCCACACAGCTGCACGTGGAACAAAACCCGAATCCAAATCCACACCTGTCTACCTACTAAATTCTCATACTTAAGGGTCCATAGGGATCAGACCTTGAAAAACTTCTTTGTCCCCAGGAAGGTTTTACTTATTATCAATAACAAATTTATCTTCCCATTTGTAGCTCATTATACACTTAGAGCTTTCAGTGGGCACAAGATATGAGTAATTGGTGAGAAGCAGTTGATATTATTCCAGTCAGTAGCAAAGAAACCCCATGCTTATCAGCTTGGATGACTTTTTCATAAATAAATGCATTATTTTCTACCAGATTTTTGAAATATTGAAAACAGCTTTGGGCTCCCATTACTACCATTAGGAACTCCTGAGTGACCTTATGACACATGTTACATAGGCCCCAAACTAGAAGGTCTGCCCCTAGTACCTAGCAGGCTATAGCTCTGTGGGTCTTGGAGGCAGTTTGGGGAGTGGAGTGAGGAGCCATGTGGCCCACCCTGAGCAGCATCCCAGGTGCTCAGGAGACCTCTTAAGATTCCCCAGCAGGGGTGGCACCTGGATTCCATTAAATTTATCTGCTCTGGGATCCTAACACCTTTTCTTTGAATTTCCAGATGAAACTAAGTTCACTGTCATACCAGAAATCATCTTTGAAGGGGACACAGTAACCCTGGAATGTGAAAATGAAGTTTTGTCCTCCAATGTGTCTTGGTACCGGGGAGAAAGACACATCCAGAACAACAGCAGATTCTCCATTTACACCTCGATGCCCAACAACATAACCTCAGTATCACGCCTCACCATCCACAACATCACTCAGGGTGACGCGGGTGAGTCTTCCTCAGTGTTTTGTTTGAGGAAAGGAACAGAATGCTCTTAAAGGAACAAACCCTATAATGTGTTAGCTAAGTTCTGCTCTCTTCAAAAGGAAGTATTCAGGCTCAATACTTCAAAATTGAAAATTTATCCTGTGATCTTAAATTATTTTCTAAATTAATTAATGTATTGTTATTATTTTTTTACTATGCTGTATGTTCTTATTCTTTGAGTTTTCAATTAAATTCTAAAAAAATTAAAGTAGCTTAATTAAGGTAGAATTGATGTGGAATAAACTGCACATATTTAAAGTTCTTTAAGTTTTGACCTATGTACACCTGTGAAACCATCATCAGAATCAAGATAGTGAACCCCCATCATCTATCACCCCCAGCCCCAGATTTTCCTGTCCTCTGCAGTAATCTGTCCCTTTGGCCTGTCCCCAACATCCTGTCTCCCCAGCCCCCAGCAGCCATAGGAGCGTAAGTCTTAATTCTTCATTTTAATCCAGATATCAACAAGTCACCTCTATTTCTCTGCATTAAAAGGTAGGCTGTTGACACATGGGGTATATCACATCTTGGCCAATTCTGATTTTACCAGAGGGTTAAATAAGATGTCAAAATTTTTTATCTTCTAAGTCTCCAAAGCTTTCCCAAAATTTTTCCCTCCTGTTTTCAGTCTTATTCCTTACTAGCAAAATCCATGAGACTGCTACAATCAGAACAACTCTCTACTCTGTACCTGTGGCATCAGAAATCTCTGTGTTGATCCTCAGCATTTCCCAAATGTTTCTTAAGGAGCATTTAAACCAAGTCTCAGGTGCTTTGAAAATGAGGCCTCCTGATGTAATGCCATGCTGCATGAGACAAGACTATCATTCATCTAAGGCAAGACATATGTGGGGTAATAATAAATGATTTTGTATATTCTGTGCAGGTGAATATCTTTGCAAACTGATATTGGATATTTTCGAGTATGAGGCTAAAAAAAAAATAGATGTGCTACCCATCCGAATTTTGGCAAAAAAAGAAATGAAGGTGATGTGCGACAACAATCCTGTATCTCTGAACTGTTGCAGTGAGAGTAACGTAAATTGGAGCACAGTAGAATGGAAGCAGGAAGGAAAAATAAGCATTCTAGGTAAGAATGTTAGATAAGATGTTCTTTGGCAAATAGGCCTTTGCTTGCTTCTTGGTCATGTAAAAGATGAGAGATGGGATAGGAAGTGGGGGGAATATCAGATGCCTGTCTTCTTTTTCATTTTTGATCTTCAAACTATGAAACTAGGTTTGGTATCAGCTTCAGCTGAGCCATTTAGAACAAAACTCCAAAAATGCAGACACACGAGTGTCATGCTTGGTTACAGATGAATTTTCAGAAACAGAAGACCCAAGAGAGAGTGATCCTGATGGCTGAGGTCCACGGCATTTCCAGCCCATAAAAAAGCTTGTCCCTCCTTGCTTTCTTTTTCACCTTCAGCAAAGAGCTAAGGAGGAGGTCATTGGCTTTTCATTTGAGGTACAACTTGGGACTTCCTGTTTCTGTCTCTCCTCTTGGTATTAAGTTATATCCTTAACTTCAATCTTTTCTCGGTGTTTCCAGCTTTTTATCTTTTTCTGTAGACATGTTTGTCCTTCAACTACTTCATGACAGTTTCCAATCATGGTTGCTTTTGTTTTATTCAGATCGGACTTGAAGCCCCTACCCTCCAGTTTATACTGATGAATATGGTAATAATAAATAAAAGCAGCAATGGTGACTTCATTTTGTATAACAGCTTATGATTAACCCATTTAAAAAATATATGTGATCGCTTTTAATCACATTTAAGCTTGACCACAAATTTGAAGCTGGCATTTTTACTACCAATATAAAAATAAGGAAATTGAGGTTCAGATTAAATGACTTATCCAAGGTTGTCATAATATGAAAAGAAAAGGATTAGGACTCACCACAGATTTTGTTTCAAAAAAAAAAAAACAGTGTTTGTCTTGGCCAACTAAATCATCCAGCACCTGTGTGAGCTGGTCTGCTAGTTTGGAAGGAAGATTTTCCCACCTGGAATCCCAATAGAACCACCATCTAGCTCTTCTCTCCAGAAACTTTCAACTAAAATGTGACTTTACCCATGAAAATCATTAGTGTGGTGAGCCTGGATTTTCTGAAGCTTTTGCTATTGGACAATGGAACAAAAAGATCCATTTACAGGCACATTTTCCAGAGCACATTTACTTTGCAAAGCTGATTTCACCTGCAGCATTTGTATTTGACTTTAAAGACCACAGGAGAATGGAAAAGGCCTTTCTTAACTGTTGAAAATACTGACACATGGGACCATTAGTCACTTCCCTGCTTTTTAAGGAAAAGGAGGTGTAGGCATCCTGAAGGAACTGCTGGGTGGGAGAAAGACCTTGCACAATTCCTGTGGTACTGACTGAAAAGCTTTCAACTCTGAGAGGTGACAAACCTCGCCCTTAGCAGAGGAACCAGGAAGTCTGCGCTGCAGATACTCAGGGACCTCTCTCTGGCGGCCACCTCTGCGTCCATTCCTAATGCCCCAGTGTGGACTGAGCAGACTGCAGAACAATGAATTTCCTGCCCCAGGGCTGGCCGCCAGGGGACCTACACAGTGAGTGCTCTGATGGATTTAGCCTCTGCTCTGGCACCTTGTCCTTCTTCCTTGCCTCTTGCTGCCCCCTCTCTGCAGGTCTCTTTCTCCAAATGCCACAGCTTCTTTCAGCACCCATTTCCCCCATGTCAGTAGGAAGCACTGTAGCAAAAGATTTCACCCCAAAGTATTTGGAAGTGAAGGTTTAACCTCCTCTCAGAATCAGTTGTATTTTCAAAGCCCTCTGAAACAGGCAAGGCAGAAAGTGAGTCCTCAGCCATGGGGGAATTTCTTCTCTTTTTCCCCCTTCCTTCCTTCCTTTCTTTTCTTTCTTTTTTTTTGGTACCAGGGATGGAAGCCAGGGGTGCTTAACCACTGGTCCACATCCCCAGCCCTTTTTAGTTTTAATTTTATTTTCTTTTTACTTTGAGACAAGGTCTCACTAAGTTGCTTAGGACCTCATTAAGTTGCTGAGGCAGGCTTCAAACTTGTTAATCTTCTGCCTCAGCTTCTTGAGCCTCTGGAATTACAGATGTGTGCCATTGCACTCAGATCAATGGGGGAATTTCTAACTTTGAGAGGAATAACATTCAATGAATTCAATGATGTTCTCCCACTGAACTCAGGAAAAGGGAAGGGATGTTCTTTAAGGGCACTGTCATTATCATAAAAGTTACTGTGGCAGATTCAATGCATTCAACTCTGTGTGTTTCTCTTTCTCCCCCCTCCTCCCCATCCCAAGGTAGCTACCATTATCACCATTTTATAGGTGAGGGTCTGGGGTATTATATAATCCTGAGCAGAAATCTTGGAATTACAAATCACCCCTTCTGCAGAAAGCAAAGCACCAACCTATTAGCTGCATTCTGTACCTTCCACGCGGACCTGGACTTGCACAGCCAAGGGTATCATAAGGAACACTGTGTGCATGGTGACAATACAGGGGTTCCACTTTGTTTGTGAGTTTACCATCTCTTTGGAGCCTTATGTTCACTCTCTCCCTACGAGAGCTGCCTATTGTTCCCTGGTTAAGACCTGTGTGCTGCTGCTTTGTGTTTACTTATCTCCATTTTCTTATTTGACTAAATAATCCTCTCTTAAAGCAAGATCTTATATTAGTGCCCAACAGAAGACTTATTAACCTTGGCACTATTGACATTCTGGACTAGATAATTCTTGGTGAGGACTGTCCTGTAGGATGTTCAATAGCATCCTTGGTGTCTACTCACTACTGTCAGTAGCACACAGACACAAGAACAATACCTGTCTTTAAACATTGCCAAATGTCCTTCAGAAAACTAGAATTTCCCCCAAGGTGAAAGCATAACTGGTGTGTACAGCAGACCAGAATGGAACTACTCTAGTTAAAAAGGAGTGGAGACTTGGATCTCACATAGCTGATTATACTAAACCCAGCTCCAGCCCTGGAAGCAGCTTAATGGAAATCTAGAATCAGTACTGATTCAAACACACAACATACATCCAATCCACATCAGGATCATGAGCCCCATTTCTGTCTGTTAAACTGTAATTGTCTTTCAAGGCCTAAAATAAATCTTGCTCCTTTCTGACTTCATTCTTAATCTCTCAACTAAAGAATACCTCCCTTTAATCTATGTAATATACTGAGTTGTTTCCTATGGAGCCTATCCACTGAACATTACCATTATTTCAGTATGTTTCTTTATACACTCCATCCTGCATAGCTTATTCCCATGTGTGCTAGTTTGATGAAAAGAGTGGATCTTTAAGAATGAGTGAGGGTCAATATAATGCACCAATAAAAAAATATGAAACCCAAAAGAATCAGTAGAGAGGAGGAGGGAAGATGATTTCAGGATGAACACAGGCATAGAGGTGTGAACCTGCAGGGAATGTCAAAGGTCCAGGATGTGACCTAGATTCTACAAGAGGGATGTAGAACAAGATCAAAAGGGGAGAGGCATATTAAAATTATATTGAGAATAAATGCCATATATCACACTAAGCAGATTTTACTTTTTCTATACACAATGGTAAGATTTTAAAGGTAAAAAGAAGATAGTCAGATAATCTGAAGAGAACTTTATAAAAATAAATATTCATGTAATGTAACCTATAGGTTCAGGGGACAAATTACTAAATACAGAGGCCCAGCTACAATAATATGTCAAGTGCAAACAACAAATACTAGAACCTGGGCAAGTGGCTGTGGATTGACTATAAAATGTTTCAAAAGCATAATCTAAATTTTTTTTTTTATATTTGAGTAGAAGTACAATGTGAGGAAATGCAAGTGATTAAAGATGACTTTAAGATTTTTAATTTGGTGAGCTGCCAATGGCAAAAAGAGGAAATACTGGAAGACGTGCAGGCTTTGTCTAGGGAAAAATAAATAAATTGCATATGCTGAATTGGAGGTACCTGAGATGTCAAATCAACACTTGGGCAGTTGCTTCTAGAATTTCCAACAAGGGTATTTCTCTCAGAAGAGAGTGAGAAGTCATCTGAGTATAGTATTTAATAGGAGCCACAGCTGGGCACAGCAGCACATGCCTGTAATCCCAGTGGCTCGGGAGGCTGAGGCAGGAGGATCATGAGTTGAAAACCAGCCTCAGCAACATCAAGGCACTTAGCAACTCAGTGAGACCCTGTCTCTAAGAAAATACAAAATAGAGATAGGGATGTGGCTCCTTGGTCAAGTGCCCCCAAGTCCAATTCCGGTACCCCCCCCACCAAAATAAATAAATAAATAAATAAATAAATAGGAGCCATAGCTGTAGATAAGATTGCCCAGTGAGAGAATCATGAAAAGATGAGGAAAGATGATTATCAGGACCCTTGCAGAAAGGTCAGTATCCTTGGGAATATCTGCACTGAAGAAGGGAATAGAAAGGCAAAGAACCTGGAAATGAGGCACAGAAGGAGGGATGAAGACAGAGGAGAAGCAGGAGAGACCTATGGGAGAGACAGTGGTCAGCAGCATGACATGCTAAAGTCCAGGTTGAAAAGAGGAGGTTGACATTGGCCTTAAAGAAACACTCTCGGTAAAGAAGAGAGTGAAAAAGGCCAGTTGTAAAGATTTGCTGAAAAAATGGAAGTGGCACAGGTAGAAAAATATGTGGCAAAGTTAGAAGTATCATGGAACACAGTGAGGAAGCAAATGCCCTGGTGGGTAGAGGAGCTTTTGGATTGAGGAAGACCATTTTAGGAAACGAAGCCTTGAGTATATCTGAAGGGTAAAGTGAGGGAACCAGAGAAAAGGTTAAAAATGCAGGGAAAAGAACAGTAAAGGATGCAGTAAGGTCCAGGAGGAACTGGGGGAAGTGACTGTTCAAAGGATAAGTGAAGAGGTGAGCCTTAGAGAGAGTAGGGAGACGTGTCTATAAGCTAGAAAGTAATTCATACAAGGTGGATGAAGGTGGAAATCACTTGGGTGGCTTCAACAGCCATTTTGGGGACTAGGGAGAAATTCTGGTTGCATGACAAGTAAAGTTTTTCAAATATCATTGATGCTGTATCCAGTGCTAAAACAACAACAACAACAACAACAAAAACATGCTAAAATAAGCTCCTAATCAAGGAGCTTATTCTTTTTCTTTCATCTTTTAAAGATAGATGGTAGTGGAAGAATGTTTTAAGCATGAAAGGTGGGAGGAGAAAGAGGGAAGGGACTGTGGTGGGAAAAACTAGACTTAGAGTGTCCTAGATCCCCAGGCGAAGGGTGAAGATGGTATGAAGATGTTTCTGGGACTGGAAAGGGAGGTATGGAAAGGGAGCTACTGTGAAAAACAAAACTACTGGTAACTGAGAAAACATGATGTCAAAGCTTTCGCTAAAAGGGAACAAGCTATAAAAGTGCTTTCAAATAAGATGAATAGATGTCCCAGAATCATTTGTTCCTTCAGAAATAATGGTAGTCTGATTAATCTGATATGTTTTTTCCTTTCAGTTAAAGTCATACCCAGATACATTGCTTCTCTTTTTTATTTTTCACATTCCAGTGACCACCATTAATGGTCTTTGTTGGGGAAAGGTTCCAGCCAGGCACTTACTAAGTGTGTTTGTGTGTGTGTATGTGTGAGTGTGTGAGTGTGTGTGTGTGTGTGTGTGTGTGTGTGTGTATGAATAGTCTCATTGAACATTCTTACAGTCTCAGGAAGTAGCTGCTGCTATTACTTACCTCCATTTAGCATCTGAAAAAATTGGGATGTAGTGCAAATTATGTGACTTTCTCAACAACACCTGCAAGTAAGTGATGGAGTTGGATGCCAGGTAACCTGGATCCAGAGTCTGCAGACCCAACCATTAAACTGTCTCCCCTCTTCATTCTAAAAGAACATCTAATTTAAATAGTAACCTTTTCTTTGATTTGACTCTTTGATACTAAATTAAAAAGTCAACCAGTCATGACAGCAAAAGAATTGTGTATGTCATTGCAGGAAACACAGAAACAAACCTAGATTCTAAATGCAGCAGATTCACCCTCAAGGCTAATGGAACCCAGTGCCCAAGTGGGTCATCTGGAACAACAGTCATCTACACTTGTGAGTTCATCGGCGTACATGGAGCCAGAGGCAGTAAGAATATAGACGTGACATTCACCTCTGTGGGTAAGAACTCTCTCAGATTTTTTTAGCCATAACTCCATTACACTTGCCAATCACCTAGGAATATCCATGGGCAAAAGAAAGTAGGGTTTTCCCTACAGTGGGATTGTGATGGGAGTAAATCAAACAATGGGAGGTAGAAGAGGTTTCCCTCTCTGCCATTGAAATTGAGGTGGCATCTTTTTAAAATTGGGAAGGGTAGGGATGGGAAAATGGCTGTAGGGAAGGAAGTAGCTGCATTGTACTGAGAAGGCAGAAAATGGACTGGGAAGTAGTTTCGCCATCAGATTGGTCCTATTGTTATTGAATTCATAATAAGTGTACTCTGTCCCTGAGAGTTTTCCCCTCTTCCTCCCAACCCCCATTCTTCCTTCCTTGGAGCCACCAGCCTGGCTCTCCCTCTTCCCTCAGCTCCCTCCCCCATCTCCTCTGCTCCCTCCCCCATCTCCTCTCCTCTCTCACCCATTCTAGAAATCAAGCTACAGAAAGCTTTAATAATCCATTAGTCTGTCGATATTTTAAAGTGGGAATGAGTGATTTTTAATATCTCAATTCTGTTTTGTTAAAATGACACTTTCAAGTGTCATTTCTCCTCATATCATAAAGCAGTATAATTTTATCCATAACTGCAAAAATGTTTTTCCATCCGTCTTATGAAGATGGACCATTTAGATACATCATCAGACCCTTTTTGAAAAACTCAGAGAAAGGACTGCTGAACGTTATACCTGTGTTACTATATTTATGCTTTCTGCTACTGGTACAAAGATCGCGATGAGGCTTATGTGGGCCCACGTGATCAACACAACTCTTGAGTTAAAACTGGGAGTACATAACCACCTACACTTCAGAAAACTGCAAACTGTCCAAAATACCCACGAAATGCTCTGGGCAATAATATGTGCAGATAAACCTAATCCTTCTCCAAATTGTTCATTGTGATTTCACTCTTATTTGTAAAATTGGGGCAAGTCATGAGGATGTATTTAACCTTTGCTGAAAATCAGTATTGTGGCAGTTGGATCTCATTTGAGAATCAAAAGAATTAGATTCATGGCTCCATGCCTTTTCTTTCCACTCTTAGATGCAGCTAAGCCTTAGAAAGTCACCTCTGGGTCCCTGAAGCCAGAGAACACAATGCCAGGGACCCAGTATGCCTTCCCTAAGCAACTCTGGTGCTGTATCTGAGCATTTGAACGCCATGGAAAGCCCAGATTTCTTTTTATTATGATTAAAAATAAGATTTTACATTGCTTGGAAAAGGAGGTCAGCATCATCGGCATGATGCTGTTCCCCTATGGAAGACTGAAGCCAATAACATTTTGAAGTGGCAATCATATAAATAAGATGCTCTAAGAGAATGGAAAGAGAAGCAGAGGCAGAGAGAGTAGGACTTTCACATAACTTTTGTGTTTGCAGTGGTCTCATGAACATTTCCTGTGAATAATTTCTCATGAATCAGTCTGAAGCTTTTCATATAGAGTAGTAAATATATAGTTAAGTTAATATAAGTATTTAATTTTAGTTAGATAATTATGTATAGCTAATGTTAAGGTGCCCGTATATCCCAGTTTGCCTGAGACAGTCCAATTGTGATTATTTGGGCAATAAGTGCTATGATTCCCACACTGGAAATGTAGTTCCAGAATTCACTTTTGCCTATCAAGCCGTGGCTTTGTATTGATCCAGAACTGGATGCTAGAAGCAAAAGGCCCACCCTTGAGGGTTCGCACGTCTACAAAGGAGAGCTCTAGAAAGACAGAAGTTAAGATTCAACATGATCTTACTTTTTAAAGTATATTTAAAAAGTAGAAAATGAAGTCATTACAAGAACCCAGCCATTTCTTGTCCCTCAAGGTGTCTCAGAGGAGGTTGGAGGGGAGCTTGGGTTACTTCAACACCCCTAAGTTTGCAACCTTTTGCCCTGCTGATCATCAGGAGATAATTCCAGCCACAAAAGGGAAGTGCACGAGTTCCTAAGGCATGTGATGGAAGTGAGTACAGTTCAGAGCACCACCGGGAACAGCCTAGAAACAAGTAAAGCCCAGGAACAGCAAGGTACAGATTCGCGCTGACCCCAATAGAGTCAGGAGGGTCCCTGATTGCTGTCTCTGTCTTGAATTTTGCTTGTGTCTTGATGTCACCAGAAAGACTAAACACTGGACTTGTCGTTTGGTTTTTTTTTTTTTTTTTTTTGTCTTTTCTATTTGTATTCTTTCAGCCAACCTGACCATAACCCCGGACCTAATTTCTGTTTCTGAGGGACAAAGCTTTTCCATAAAATGCACCAGCGATGTGAGTAACTACGATGAGGTATATTGGAACACTTCCGCTGGAATCAAAATATATGAAAGGTTTTATACCACGAGGAGGTATCTTAATGGAGCAGAGTCAGTGCTGACGGTGAAGACCTCGACCAGGGAGTGGAACGGTGAGTGAAAGGCCAGTGGATGGGTGGTGCCATCTGGTCCCCAGGGAACACTCCATGATAGTATCCACCCAGGCTCTGCCCTAGGACATGCCCACATCACATTAAAATAGGGACAGTCCCCTGGGGGATGATGTCATCACTCCATCATCCACACTGTAGAAAGTGAGGCCCAGAGAAGAGAATAAACATGCTTCAGCCAACACAACTTCAGTTGAAGAAGGTTCCATGGTTGAAAGTAGTGTCTGATTCTAGAGTCTGCTATTCTGTTAGAGGATTGTTTTTAAAAATGCTTTTCAAGACTTTTGGGAGTATTTTCCCCAACTGTATTATAAAAAAATAGAGGTAGCCAGGTCTGGGTGTGCACACCTGTAATCCCAGTGGCTTGGTAGGCTAAGGTAGGAGGATTGAAAGTTTGAGGCCAGCCTCAGCAACTTATCAAGGTCTAAGCAACTTAGTGAGACCCTGTCTCAAAATAAAAAATAAAAAGGGCTGGGAATGTTTATCAGTGGATAAGGGTCCCTGAGTTCAATCCCTAGTACCAAAAAAAAAAAAAAAAAAAAAACTAGGTAAAAGTTTTATATATCTGGTTCTGAAGAAAGAAGCACTTTTATTTACCTCTACACATTGTTCATGTTAGGAGGAAACACAAATCTTGGAGAGCAAAATGAATTTGGTAGACAGAACTATCACAGAAAGAGGAAACATTTATTGAGCCCTTACTGTGTGATAGGCTTTATGTGATGAATTAATGTATTAATTTATTTAAAACAATGAACCTTAGAGACAGTATTATTATTATCCCCATTTGACAGATGAGGTAACCAAGGCCCAGAGAGATTAAATAAATTATCCAAGTATATTCATCTGGTAGGCAGAGCCAGGATGCTAATCTGGCTCCAGTGAGCAACTCTCAACCACTCATTCTGAAGCCTTTTGTTAACTATAGGATTAATCAGTCCAGATTCTGTGAGTCCCATACCTTTATATATTTTTTTTAATGTAAGGCCTAGATGATGCTGCCAAAATAGCTATTTATTTGGGGCTCTGGACTTGCTAACACATGGTCAGGAAATGGTAGTATCTTTCTCCCATGCTGACTTCAAATCTGCTGTGTCCAGTTGCTCTTTCCTACTGCTGGGCGATAACTGTAGCTTTTCCCATCACATTAAACTATTAAGCAGTTCCATCCCTGGGTACTGAAGAATCTGTTTTGGTCTGAATCTACAATACTTTACTTTTATTTCAGTCTTAAGTCCCCCCTTCCTCCCAACAGGAATTGAAAGTGTTTCTTTTCTCTCTTGCTTCTTCTTTTTTCTCTGGTGCCTGCTAACTCCTGGCTTCTCCAGAGCTGGGGCTAAGAGAAAGAATATAAGAAAAATGGAAGAGTATAATTTACCTGTAGGTACCTTAAAATCTTGCTATATTTTCTCCAGGGCAGCTTGCTCAAGTGATTTTTCTTCTGATGCTGTGGTGCTCTGGAACCTGAGGGTCCTGCCCACTTAGAGATGGGGAAGGGGTCATCAAATAACATCATGCTCCATTGGATCAACAACATTTAAACAAACAAACAAACTTCATCCTTGAACACACCAAAATCCCTATTTATTTTCTGGGTTGATGTAAGAACCTTGGAACAGAAATTGGGAATTTGGTTTGAAACTTCATCATCCCTAACCTTGAATAAGCTGCTTAATTTTATTTGAAACTAAATGCATATTTAGGGGGTCATTGGTTAATCTTTCAAATATATGGGGAATATAGGAGAAGGGTTGGTCAAGAATTTTGTCCTTCAGTATCCAGGAAGGTATGGTGTGGCCTTACCTAGGCTCGAGAGGAAAAGCTTAAACTCTCCTTCACCTTTCTAGCAAATGCCTTTAGGAGTGATTATTTCACTCCATCTCATTTTTGCTTCTTTCCACTCAGGAACCTATCACTGCATATTTAGATACAAGAACTCATACAGTGTTGCAACCAAAGATGTCACTGTTCACCCGCTGCCTCTAGAGGCCAACATCATGATTGATCCTTTGGAAGCTAGTTTCTTATGTGGAGACTCCCATTCCTTCAAGTGCTGCATTGAGGAGGATATTGACTACAAAGTCACATTCCAGATTGATTCCTTGTCCTTTCCAGCAGGTAAGATGCAGAGTGCTGAACTGATAGGACATATTATATCATATATGTGGAGTCAAAATTCTACTCTTAAGCAGGGATCAAGAAACCTTCAGAAATACAGTGTAACAGAGTAGAATTCCAAAGACATTACTTTCTGTTTGACAATGTGCCTGGTGACTTACCAGTTTGCAGCAAAATCTTTGGAGTTGCGAGGGTGGAGTACATTCTTTTTGGTGGGAACTGTTGAAGACAGTGTTAAGATAACCTTCATTGGATTTAAACTCCTCCTAGGTGGCAGACTAAATATTCTGATAATGCTTCCTCATATGCTGTCAAATAACTTGCTATAAAAGTGACACAGCAATCCTTTTAAATACACAATTGAGCATGCCAGAAAGTAAAAGAAATAACCAAGAACTTAAAACATGGAAGAAAAGAAAATAGAAATGATGTTTTTATTTCATGCTAGAGCTTAACTGCTGGCATTTGCCAGAATTAGAAACCTAGACCCTTGGATTAAAGGCTTCCAAGGGCATAAAAAACATACCATGCTCCCTAAGCAGTAACTGAGGCTCCCCAACCCACCAGCACAATGTCAAATGGGAATATGCTTAGTAATAGAATAGGCCAGAAAACCAAAATTCATCTGCCTGAGTTAAGAGTTGGGCCTAATTTCTGGGTGGGCAACAAGTTTCCCCTGAGAATTATAAGAGTTTTGTCCTCACCCAACGTTGGACTTTGAATTTCTAATGTTTGTGGTTCAGGATCACTAAGATGAAGCATAATTAACTTAACGTGGTCCATTGATTTGCACCCTAAACCATAAGGCAATTAAAAACAACAATAATGTAATTCCTCCCTGGTAGAATATATCCTCAGTTCAAATTCCTCAGGATTTCCAGAGATTAAGTTCAACTAAACATGAGCTTACAACCTCAAATCTCAAAATACAGATACCTTCCTGAAGGTTTTATAAACTCATTCTTTCATAACTATTCTTGGGAATTTGCACTTTGTAAGGTACCATAACAAACAAACAAAAGGAGACTAAATAATTTAGGCACATATTTTGATATCTAGAAAGGCCTGTGCCATAAAAGGGAATGCATATAACATTAAATATATAAAATAAGTTACATAGATTGGAGAAAAAAATAAGAATTTTGAAATGCCAGCCTCCAAAAAGATTGGATTATCGTAAAAATACTGTATGTAGAAACATTTAGCACAAACCTGCATATTGAAACCTTCAAATGTTTTCAGCACTCTGTGATCAATATGCATATGTGTGTGTATATATGTGTATGTGTGTGTGTGTGTGTGAGAGAGAGAGAGCTAAGTACTGGGAGATCCAAAGATAAATAAGACCAAGGGTCTTCTCTATAAAATATATGAGTTATGGAAAAGAAAGATCCACAAAGAGCTGATTAAAACACTACATCGTAAATACAGAATAGGAAAAATGCACAGAGCATGATGGTAGGTAGTAGAAAGATTAGAGGGATGCTGAAAAAGCATGATTGTGACCATCAAAAACATATGGGCACAGATTTGGATTTATGAATGGCAGAAGCAAACTTCTGGTTGGCACATATGCAAATGCAGGCTTACTTCTGGGAAACAGAGATCATCTTTATGGAAATATGTAAAAATGCATTAAAAATGAATGTTACACACTCTGGAGAAATATTTGACAGGTTTCTTCACATTGAATCACCTTGATAATATGTATGTTTTGGATGCTCATGTTGTGACTTCATGCTCTCAATCATTCCTCTCTCTAGCAAAAGAAGTTAATGGGAAACAAGTGTGCTACAAATACAGTTTCAACACAAGCTCAGTTTCCTCGTGTTCAAGAAATGTTGATGTGTTTTGTCACTTTACCAATGCTGCTAATAATTCAGTCCAGAGCCCATCCATGAAGCTCTCTCTGGTTCCTGGTAAGTGCCTTTCACATTACTTTAAAATGTTAGAGTCAAGAGCAGGGACTCATTTATTCATTCGCTTCCTCATTCATACATTCAGTAAATATATGTCAAACACTTTTCTTGTGGCAAGCTGTGGGCTAACCATGGTATATTTGAAGAGAAATAAGTCATGTTTTCTGGCCTCAGGCCTAGGGGAAAGCTAGACAGATACAGTTAAAAAAATGTCACATACATTGGGTATGTGCAAATCTAAGCCTATTGTGAGTGGTCAGAAGGGTCACCTGGTTTAACTCTGCTGCTGGCAGGTGGGGAGAAAGTGATCAGGAAAGCCTCTCAGATGAAATCACTCTTCAGCTGAGCATGGGAGGCCACCAGGTAGTTCACCGGTCAGATAAGAGTGGGCAGAATCTGTGTGCGCTTGAGATTCCTTTGAGCTTTCATCAAAGGGAGTGTGACACAGCCACATGGGAAGAATTAATGTAAAGAACAGGCAACTGCCTTTCCCATCCATTGTCAGCACTGTCAATATGCCTCTGCAAAATATCTTTGAGATACAAAGTGATGATCTGTGGAGGCATTTCTATAATAGCCCATGCTGAAAGTTCACCCTCAGTCAACAGAGAGGCAAGGAGATCTGTGATAATCCTGGGCAGCTCCTCTATCTATCCCCCTGCCTCATAATTCTTCCCAGTAGCAGGACCCCTGATGTACAAAGGACACAAGGTTCTATCACTAAGTTTGTTTGAGTTGACAGAATGATTTGTGATCGTTCTCAGTTGTATTATTGGTCACTGGGCCCTGGACAACCATATAGGGAAGCAAATTAGCATTTCATGTTCCTCTGAGTCACTGTCAACTGACCCTCAAAGCACAGTCCCTTTTCATTGTCTCCCCATCACAACCAACGTGTTTTATCTACTTATCTTTGTTCTCTTTCTTCATACCAAATTGATTTCCACTTCTTTTTTTTTTTTCCTGGAATAGATAATTACTTATTTATTTCAAGATTTTATACAATGGGTGAGATTTCAATATTCATTAACTAAACAAAAACTGTGGACAAGGGAGGATTCTACTCATCAGAGTCAAGATCCCTTAGAAATTAAGAAATTCTGCAACAAATGTAATTTTCTCATTATTTTCTCCTCATGAGCGGAGTTGAAATAGAGTCACCTTTAAGGGAAACCAGAAGGAACAAATGCTTATTAAACCCATTGCTTAGAATATTCAGGTCATGGATGCCTGGAATTCCTACTGTTAATTACATTTTAGCGGGGGCGGGGGGGGGGGGGGCCGCACTGCTGAGGATTGAACTCAAGGGCACTCAACCACTGAGCCACATCCTCAGCCCTATTTTGTATTTTCTTTAGAGACAAGATCTCACTGAGTTGCTTAGTACCTTGCTTTTGCTGAGGCTTTCTTTGAACTCTCAATCCTCCTGCCTCAGCCTCCCAAACCACTGGGATTATAGGCATGCACCATTGCACCCAGCTGTTAATTACATTTTTGAACTACAGTGGTGCTTCTCAACCTTGGCTGCCACTGACCAGGGAAGCATAAAGCACTGCTGAAACTGGACTTTCTGCCTAGAAATTCTGGTGGACTTGAGCCTGAACACCAGCAATATCCAAAGCTTCCAAGTGATTCTAACATGCCAACATTGATAATCCCTATATTAAGGCATTACATCCTTAAGATTCCTGGTAAAGGGGGCACCTCTCATTGGGAGAAGAGCCCATTTTCCATGGTTTAGATTTTCCCAACAGCAAAGAGAAGCTGGCTGGGAATGGGAGGTGTGGGTGAGGCATAGAGATAATCAGTTCTGTTAGGAAATGCAATCTTAGGTTACAAAAGACAGATTTGTATGGGAAGCAGAGAGGGGCTTTGGACAATCAAGAACAAAATTAAGAAACTGAGTAAACTCTGAAAAAGTCACTGTAAGTAAAGAGAGATGTGACTTCAAACATCACAATTCTATCAGCTGGACCCTATTTCCACTGTTTTTGTCTTCTTCTTTCAATTGTTCCTTTTATTCCTGTGTTTCCAATGCAGAGAAGAATATCACATGCCGGGATCCCACAATAGGTGTCGGGCATCCAGGAAAGGTCATCCAGAAGCTATGCCAGTTCTCCAACGTTCCCAGCAGCCCTGACCGTACCATTGGAGGGACCATCACTTACATCTGTGCAGGCTCGAGGTGGAAGGTGAAGAGAAAAGACTGCATCTCTGCCCCAATAAATAGCCTGCTCCAGTTGGCCAAGGTGAGCTTCAAACCCTTGACTCTGAGCTCTTGCTAGGGACATCTGTCTGGCTCATCAGATTTCTCAGCTCTCAGGAAAATGGCCTTGGGATGTTTTTGTGTTGCTCCAAAAGCTACTTTCATTTGTCTACTCTCAAAGAAGATGTAACCCTAGAGATGCTTTGAAATGTTTAAATTCAAATACGAAGGCAAAAATTGTGTGTGCTGCACTAGAACCAGCCAGATAAACTTAACGGTGACTTCTCAGGACCTTGTGCCCAATATCTGCAAGAGGTGCTGGTATTATACTCTATTTTATTTCATTTGAATAATTTGGAAATCTAATAGCTATAGTCTTTTCAGAAAAAAGGAGTAATGTAAAAAATAAGATTTAATAAAATGTAGTCGGGATTTATGCTTTTGCTGGTCTGAGCTTTCCTCAATCCTTAGAGGTTCTTATACTGCTGAAAGGACCAATCCACCTCTCTTAACATGAACAAAGACTACTGCTATGTAACTAGAGGAAATTCTCTTCATCTTCTCAAAAAAAAAAAAAATAAATAAATGTTGCTCCCATCTCTAGTCTGTTGTAAGTTAGAGACTCCTAAAAACTCCACGAAGTACAGCAAATAAATACCTGAGCTATAACTAGTGGATTATAGTGAATGGTGACATCTTTTGAACAACAAGTTCAAATCTTCTGGAGAAAGAAGAATGGAGAAAGAGGGAGAATACTGATTTGTGTTTTATTAAATTATCATCCTTCTTACCTCTTATACCAAAATGATTAAAATACCTACTATGTTCAAAGTGTTATTATAGGTGATATCAAGATAGAGAGGTCAAGTTAGAACTTGGCCTCCCATTTGATAAAGAGTATAATGCATTTGAGTAATTATATACAAGGTAATTTTCAGCAAAATAAATCAGGGAGTTCTGCTTGAAAAATGTAGCATTTGTGTTGGGCCTTGATGGATAAAGCCTGAGAGATATAATTTATTGTAATCAAGAAAGATAGAACTTATAATTTGAACTCAATTATCCTAGTTCAAATTCTCTGTATATTTTCAACGGAAAAGGGCCATACTGATCTATCATGCTCCACCTAATTTATTCATTAAGCATATAAATTATATGTCAAGATATACAACTTGTGCTACGTTAGGAATTATGGAATAATAGAAGAATAGAATAGAAATATAACATATGGCCCATGCTGTTAAAGATATTATAATTTAATTGAAGAGGTATTAGAATTGAAACACAAGATAGGAGAAGAGATGTCACAGGTGTAAGGCAGGTGAAATAAAAAATATGTATTCATAGGAAGGCACACTCATCAAAGTCTTCTTAGAAAACATAAGTAGGAGCTTGAGTTAAAAATCTGAATTGTGATCATTACAGATATGTGACATAATCTGAGAATCCTTCCACTGGGAGAACAGATAGAAACAGAACTGCTCCAAGAAAACAGGAATGGGCAGTCACCTTAATGGTCAGCAGAGCAGGTGATGCAGAGAAAAATAAAAGCTGGCAAATGCTCGTCTATGAAGATATCCAAGTGATAATTTTATTCCCTATTAGTTTTCTAGCAATCAAGTCTCTCTTTTGTTCCTCACTAGTTTTTAGCTTGACACATGTTTTAATTTTTCCCTTTCTGTGTGTGAGGTATAAAGTCTTAGTCCATTCTAAAGAGTACACACAGAGAGTTTAAGAAGTAAAGCATCCCTAAAATAAGTATTTAAGTTAAATAAGTAAGATAAAGAAGATTAAATTATTGTTGTCAGAGATGAAATAAATAAGAAGTACTAAAATAAGGATATCTTATGGGACATACTTACACTTCTGGGTGTGGAGAAAAACAAAAATAAAAAACTACAGCTTTGGGAGATTTTGCCATGAATGATCAGTGGGATCTCATTAACAGGTTTATTATTGGTTTTGGCTTTTGTTTTACTAGGCTTTGATCAAGAGCCCCTCTCAGGATGAAAAGCTCCCTGCCTACCTAAAGGATCTTTCTACTAGCACAGGCAAGGAGGAACAGGAAATCAGCTCATCACCAGGGAGCCTGGGAGCCATTATTAACATCCTTGATTTGCTTTCAACAGTTCCAACCCAAGTGAATCCAGAGATGATGAAGGTAAGATTGTCTATCTTGCAGATCTTTGGAATTTTAACCTTCTTACCCCTCAGGACTCTGTTTAGGAAATGAAATTTCTCCCCAGTGCAGCTTCTTCTCTGTCTCTTCCAGAGAAATGACTTGAATATTAGAGTTGCATGACATGCTCTGCCAGCCATGGCTTTTAAGAATCACAGAGTGTTTCTGGTATTCATTTGGAGGCCTTAAGAAGATTTACTTATGAATCTCTCTTCTGGTTTCTTTACTCATATAGTATGAATTCTTATCTGCTTTCCAGGAAAATTAGGAGTTAAAGGTTTTCAGAATATGTACAAGGAAGGATTCAGAGGTCTAGCATTAACCATGAACTTTGAAACAATCCAAATATGGGGAGAAAAGAGAGTTCACTCACAAGAGTTCAAATGAAGAGACTTTAATGAAGAAACACAGCAATAAGCCAAAGTAAATTCAATCAACTTATCCGTCAATCAACCAATCAGTCAATAGGTGGTGAGGCATTCAGAGACCAGCAACATTTATAAAACATTTATACTCCCAGGGAAAGAAGAGAAAGTAGAGAGGAGAGACCTCTTAGCAGGACCTACAATCCTGGAAGGCCATAGCTATTACCAAAGATGTGCTGAGTAGCAGCGGTGTTGGAGGGTAAATGGGGGAATAAAAAATTTCTCCTTCTCTCTTCCCCCATCTGCCCATCACCTGCCAATGCCTCTTAATGGCCAAACCAACAAAAGGCCAACTTCCAAGAAACTAGGTAACAAGGTCCAAGTTGTATAAATTTTCTGGGGCTACTGTAATAAATTACCACAAACTGAGTAGCTTACAATGACAAAAATGTATTCTGTCACAGTTCTGGAAGCTAGAAGTCTGAGATCAAAATGTCCCCAAGGCCAGGCTCCCTCCATGGGTCTGGAATAGAACCTCCCTTGCCTCCTCCAGCTTCTGTTTTTTTTTTTTTGGCTCACATGTGTCTCAGTCTGCTTCATGTGCCTTCCCCCCTTCTCCATTAGTCTACTTCCTTTCTGTCTCTTGGCATCGGAGTCAGGCCCACTCAGGAAATGTGGGATGGATATTCACTTAATTACATCTACAAAGACTATTTGCCCAAATAAGAGGAAATAATCCTTAGCCCTTCACAGTGTTTAGGTATTATAGTATTTTTGGAGGCCACTCTTCACCCCACTATGGGGCTCAGACTTCCAGAGGACAGATGAGGCAAGAGAGGAAGAGAAATTACTTTTTTTTTTTTTTTTTAGGGGAGAATGGATGAAAAATGACAAGCCCAAGTTTATGAGAGAAAAACCAAATTGTTTACAGAAAACAAAGATGCTTTTGACGGCACCCTCAGAGCTCATTTGATGCTTAGGGTTTGAGGGGGTCCTCAGATACTTTCTTTTGCTGGGGACATGCCACCCACCAAAATATCTTTACAGGCTTCAGATAATATAAAACCAAACCAAACAATAAATACCTCTGTCAGTCTGCTGAATGGGCCTTTGTAAGTGGTGGGAAGGTGGCTTTCACAGTCACTATATCTAAATGGTTGGCAAAGTCCCACAGTCTCCTAACCACCTCACCTCTGTCATCAGAAGGCAGGTCGCTGATCCTCTCTGCCTGCAATGTCTCATTTTTCTCTTCTCTTTCTCTCTTATTTGTACCCACTCAACCAATTTCCAGGGAGATGTCATGTTTGTAACTTTCATGTTTATAAGAATTTCCTTGGTTTGACTCCACATGTGTCCCTTACAGGATGTGCTGTCTACTGTGAACATCATCCTCAGTAAGTCTGTCTTGAGCACCTGGAAGGTTTTACAGCAGCAGAAGACCAACCAGAGCTCCCAGCTACTGTACTCAGTGGAAAGGTTTTCCCAAGCCTTACAATCTGGAGATAACACCCCATCGTTCCTCTCCCACCCCAATGTACAGATGAAGAGCATGGTGATAAAATCTGGCCAGACGAATATCTACCAACAGAATTTTATTTTTGCAGACTCTGACCTCTGGGGCAACGTGGCCATTGATGAGTGCCAGCTGGGACACTTGCAGCCGGATTCATCTATTGTCACGGTGGCTTTCCCAACACTCCATGCTATCCTTGCTCAGGATATTCAGAAAAAAAATTTTGCAAACAGCTTGGTGATGACAACCACCCTCAGCCACAATCTAACCAAGCCATTCAGGATTTCCATGACTTTTAAAAGCAACCATCGCTCAGGAGGGAGTCCCCAGTGTGTCTTCTGGAACTTCAGTCTCGCCAACTCCACTGGCGGGTGGGATAGCAGTGGGTGCCGGGTGAAAGAAGTCAAAGGGGACAGTGTGTCCTGTACCTGTGACCACCTGACATCGTTCTCCATCCTCATGTCCCCTGACTCCCCAGACCCTGGTTCTCTCCTGAAAATACTATTAGATATCATCTCTTACATTGGGCTGGGCTTTTCCATCTTGAGCTTAGCGGCCTGTCTGGTTGTGGAAGCTATGGTGTGGAAATCGGTGACCAAGAACCGGACTTCCTACATGCGCCACACCTGCATAGTGAACATCGCCACCTCCCTACTCATTGCTGACACCTGGTTTATTGTGGCCGCTGCCATCCACGACCATCACTACCCACTGAGCGAGACGGCCTGTGTGGCTGCCACCTTCTTTATCCACTTCTTCTACCTCAGTGTCTTCTTCTGGATGCTGACACTAGGCCTCATGCTCTTCTATCGCCTGGTTTTCATTCTGCATGATGCCAGCAAGTCCGTTCAGAAGGCTATTGCCTTTTCTCTAGGCTATGGCTGCCCCCTGGTCATCTCAGTCATCACCGTGGGGGCTACCCAGCCTCAGGAAGTCTATACGAGGAAGAATGCCTGTTGGCTCAACTGGGACGACACCAAGGCCCTGCTGGCCTTTGTAATCCCAGCACTGATCATTGTGGTGGTGAACGTGACCATCACAGTTGTGGTCATCACCAAGATCCTGAGGCCTTCCATTGGAGACAAGCCAAGCAAACAGGAGAGGAGCAGCCTGTTCCAGATCAGCAAGAGCATTGGTGTCCTCACGCCACTCTTAGGGCTCACTTGGGGTTTTGGTCTTGCCACTGTGTTCCAGGGGAGCAATGCCGTCTTCCATATCATATTTACCCTCCTCAATGCCTTCCAGGTAAGTTCTGCTGTGCAGGGCTCTCAGGAAATTTCTGTTCCTGTGGGACAAACTAATGATAGAAACATAAACAGGAGTAGGAATGGGGAAGGATTTTAATGCAGAGAAATGCTTAGCCCTAAGTAGCAGTAATATAAAAACTCAATGAGATAGAAAAGGACACCTTCCTTTGCTCCCATGGAACCTTGTACCTCTTATCACCTGCATCATAACTTGGTTGCATGTGCCAGTCTCTTCCAAATGCCCTGATAATGCAAGCAGGAGGGAAGTCACTTCCATAAACTGGATGTTGCTATTTGTCCAAGATTACTTTGGTGCAGTCTATTATCTCTTAAGTGAAAATAATTAAGCCAAGTCATGTCTCCAGTTAGTCTCAGGAAACATCAGTGAGCTCTGTGCACATCTTCCTTTTTCATCACCAAATTCCTTGTTCCTAATAAAGAACTTGGCCCACAGTAGGCTCTCAAAAGCCATTTGAATGAAATCAGTGCTATGTATCACATAATTTCTCTGAAAATATTTTGTTGAAGAATGAGGCAACGAATGCCCTAGGCGTGCTACACAATCTGCTTGATTATATTAAAATGGAAAGACATCTCCACTCTCCTGTAGCACCTAATGGTAACAGTGTTAGAAGAGCTCCGACAGAAGTATAAACAAGCCCCTTTGGTGCATGGGGAAGGGAGGGATTAATTCTGCTTCTCCCAATAAGTGGGGTGCGGGGGGTTAAAGATAAGGAAATACCTGCCCAAAGGATGCAGGTCCCTAAGAGCTGGTGAGGGGAAGAGGTGAAGTTGAGAGGTTGCTCCCAGATGCCTGTGACATGACCATAGGAACCTAACTTCTGCTCCTGCGCCTGTGGCTCTGAGTCATAGGTTCTTATCCAGTGACCTTCAAGGTATCCCTCTGTTAGAAGAAGCTAATGATCTTTCCTCATGCCCCAGATTATCATCACAGCCCGGAAGGTTAGGTGAGTAATATAGACACAGGGCTTTATTTAATAGCATAACTAGCAGGATATTTAGTTCACAATTACAGAAAATAGAAAACATTCTCCCAGTATCACAACATGAAGGGTACCTTAGTGTGCACCAATAAAATCCCTTTTAACATTGTCATGTCCTAGATTAATTCTACAAACACAGATGGGGAAAGAAGTACCGCAGTTAGCACTAGGTTAATACGACTTCTTGTTTCACTGGACAATAGAATATGATTAAAATTTACTTCTCTTAATTCTTTCCCCAGGGATTATTCATTTTACTCTTTGGATGCCTCTGGGATCAGAAGGTAGGATCAATGACAGTTTTCACCTCATAGAGAAGTCTAAAGTACTGGTGGCATGTTGAGCTGACTGGGCTTCTTTTCAACAATGCAGGTACAGGAATCTTTGCTGAACAAGTTTTCATTGTCAAGGTGGTCTTCTCAGCACTCAAAGGTAAGCCCTCACCCTTTAGACTTTCCACTCTGTATCCTCACGTACTCCAACTGGTAAGGATGAAGTGGAGTGTTCAGAATCTCTACCTTGGGATTTTGGTCAATGGAGCTAAATGCAAACCCCTTTGCCTCCATAACTAGTTGCTTTTGCATTTCACCACATTCTGCCTATCGAACACAGCCATGCCACTACCACAAAGATGCTTCTTCGCATCTTTAAGTCAGCGTTTAATGACAGATGAGATAAACTTAAGATCAAAATCAAACTTTCAATGCAAAGCAATTTTCTAGGGGGAATTCAAAGCATTAGAGAAAACAATTTGAGGAATAATAATGGACAGAATTTTCTATAGTTCATTTTGAAATATTAGTGTTGTCCTTGAATACATTTGACTACATGCACTTATCAGAAGATAGAAAATCCTACCAAACAACAAAACATTTTTTAGGTGGGGTATAGTCTGGTGGTAAAGTGCATATTTAGTAGGCAGGAGGGCCTAGATTTGATCACCAGCAGAAAAAGAAAGAGAGAGAGAGAGAGAGAAAGAAAGAAAAGAGGGAGGAAGGAATGGAGTGAAGGAAGGAAGGAAAAGAAGGATGGAGGAAGAATATGATTCAAATCATCTGTATTTTTTTAATACTGATGATAAAATTCCATTGTCTCCATGTGGTCCAAGGAGGTGGAACTAAAAATGCAGGAAATTGAACGGCTATGGGGCAGCAAAGCAGTCCCTCAAGAGGTCAAGTAGTCCTGGTCTAATAAATTTGCTTTGTGATTGTCTTTTTCTTCTCTCGTAGTCAACATCCATAGGTTCATCTACACCTGTGTTTTCTATGAGTTCTCCAATATCAAGAAGATTTAACAACCTTTTTGGTAAAACAGGTACGTAGTGACTTCTGGGTGTTCCCTGGTTGACCATAAAACAATTTGCTCTGATGGGGAACCCCCTATTATTCCACCCTACACTTCATGACATTATCTGAAATAACCTCATCTAAGATAGAAGTTAAATGTAGCAACTTGCTTACGTTTTCACCAGTCATGAGGAGGTTGGTACAAAGAGCAACTCTCTTTAATAATAATAACAAATAATAACTCATGAAGAATAATATTAAGAAAATCTTGACTAGGCTCAGAGGGCTGTCCAGCAAATCATTGGCACAAAGTGGGACCTGTAATTGGATGCTCTTGTCAAAGTAGATAGTCCTGGTCTTGTGCTGTGGTGCAGCAAAGATTATACTTGCAAAATCTGACTATAGGATTCCATTCTAGGGTTTGTTTTTCCCCTTATAGAATATGCTTGTCTTATACATCGACACTTATGAAACTGTGCATATCTGTGAGGGACTATCTAAGTTAGCTATTCTATTAGAAATACAGTTAAAATTTCCATCTTGCAGGTATGAAATAAATAGTATTAAAGACTTGGAGCAATGGTCTCAGCTATTCTGGTCAATTAAATACCATGCCAATGTCCCCAACAGGAAAATAAGCACCAAAATTCCTGCCATCTTTTTTGAACTGAATAGATCTTACCAATGCAGAGTTCACAATTGTCTCAAGATTCCCAAACCAAGCTTTTCGTGTAAAAGTATATTTTGACTATGCCTATCATTGCCGAATCTCCAGAGGACTTAGTGTTTTCAGCTTCGATTTGATGAATTACTCATGAAACTGACAGACCTTTTCATTTTGAAAGGCACTAATTTGACCTGTTGGGAAATGATGGAGCTTTCAGGGAGTGTGTTAACCATTGGCATTAAAGTGAAAATAATGAAAACTCTATTAAATTATTCCATCCGGTCAGAATGTGATGCACTATGTAAGGCCAGTGAAATGGATTTTTTGTTTCTGAATCAGTCAGATAAACACTGGGTGTGGGCTCTGTTCTTGGAGAATGAGGCCTTGATATTCTGGTCATTGCCACTGGATAGTCTCTCAAGGGTCATCAGCTCCACTTTGTCCCATTTGGAGGGTGCATAATCACTGTAACTTTGGTTTATGTTGTCAGCAGCCCCAAAGGTCCCCCCAGGCAAAGACGGAAACCTTGTTAGCAGTGGCAGTTCACGAAACTGATGGTAGGGTGGACACTCTGACCCTTCCTTTGCCCAACACACACTCCCCACTCTTCCTCAGCACGGTGCCCTCCATCTGCCCACTCGAGGCTGTGCCGCTGCTCCAGTGCTGCCCTCCCTGATGCTGGTTCTCGACACTTTTGTTGGCCCTGGTTTCTGTTTCTTCTGGGTCTTGCTTTTTCTTCCCTTATAATATCCCCTTTCTTTCCTTTTCCCTCCCTTTACAAACCTTCACCTTTAGCTCAGCCTCCTGGTTCCTTCCAAGAGCTTCCCCAAGTCACCATAATCAAGGGGACCAGGGAGGCTCCCTCATGCAAATGTCCCCAGGCCCATGCATGTGGTGGCATGTGGAGAGGCTGCCCACGTTGAGATCTCCCTGTCCTCTCCTTTGTAGAAATCTGGCTGCTGGTGTGTTGTGAAGTAGTTAGTGCTTGTCGGCTGCCATGCATGCTTGAGAACGGCAGCTCTTCTGCGTGTGTTGATTGGCACTCCTGGGCTGGGGAGGAGGGCAGGCATGGGTTGGTTTCCAGGCATGGCTGAGCTTACCAGCTCCTGGATTAGAGCTCCCCTCGGTCCGTTAGGAGATGGTCACACCCCAGAGTTGATGAAGGCTTATCTGTGAGGCTGAGCAACAACTCTGTTTTCCAGGAACGTACAATGTCTCCACCCCAGAAACAACCAGCTCCTCCCTGGAAAACTCATCCAGTGCTTATTCATTGCTCAACTAAGAACAGAAAAATCCAACCCACACGACCTCTTGGAACTGGTGGACGTGATCTGAGCAAGAGACCCTTTTAAAGCTATGGGTGAAGTGTTCTCTCTGCAGGCTTCTGGGAGCAGATGCTGAAGAGTCTTTTCCACTAGAAAAGAACCTTTCTTTTGTAAAGACAGATAAAAGTAATGGTTATGTTTATTTTTGCTCCCCACCCCCATCCCTTGTGTGATGTCAGGTGTGTATAGTATTTAAGTGAAACTCAAATCCCTCAGGCCCAACTTCTCTGTCTATATTGTAAAATAGAATTTTGTAGAGACATTTTCACTTTTTGCTATTGGCTACAAAGATAAGCTTTGACTGAAATAATAGGAAGGAAGCTAGTACCAAGGAAATACTTCATCAAATTCTAGGAAGGAAGGAAGGAAGGGAGGGAGGGAGGGAGGGGGGGAGGAAGGGAAGGAAGGAGGGAGGGAGAGAGGAAGGAAGGAGAAAGAAAAAGAAAAAAGAAGGAGGAGGGGAAAAAACAACATTAAGGACCATATTTTAAGATTTTCATAGTAATGATCTAATGTAATCACTCAGATATTTCAACACTGAGAGGTTAAAAAAAAAAGACTCAAAATGGACACTGAAAGTAAGACGAGGGGAATGAGCTTGATATCTTCCTGATATTTTCCTAGTTACGAAGTGGGGAAAAAGACAGTGGAAAAATAAGAAATCACATCATTGGGATGCTTTCAAGTGGATAATGATATTTACAAGCAATGCACCTAGGGGGACATGATTCTCCTAAAATAGACATGGGTGGATTCCTTTGTGTGTCAAGGTCAAACCTAAGGAATGAACATGCAGAGAAAGTATGACTGCAGGTCCTCGTCAGATCCAAGTAGATCCCACTGCTGACTAAAGTTTTAAGTTTATTGAAAAAAGTCTTTTGTTTCATTTTAGCATACATTTTAAAAACAAAAAAAACCCTATATTTTTATACCCAACCATTGACAAATGTGACATATTGCACTGAAAATAGAGTCCAACTGTCTTATTTGTAACAGCTTTAACCAGGTACTTCTTCTCTGTGCATTGTAGAATAGATTTTAATATTCTTCTGGCATTGTACATTACTATTATTGTTCTTACTAAGCATTTGATGGCCCTTGGTGTGCTGTATAATTTTTTGTGTAGTATTTCTTTCAGTTCCCAGACCAATATACATTAAGAGTTTTTTTATGGTTCAGCTTGTACTTATTACAACCACTTGGAAAGCTTCCAGAGAAAAAATTTACAGAGGGCTATTTTGTGTTCTTAATGACACTTTACCTTGATGAGCAAATGGCAAAACTTTTTCCAAGGATTTGATTGTTCATGAATTATTTGTGTGTATGTTGTCTGTATGTGTGAATTTCATCAAAATACAAATATTTATTAAACTGTATCCATATTAGAGTTCACCGTGGACTGTAGATATATTAGCCCAAATATTCCAGATCCAACTCTGATCCCAAAGGGAGTGGAAGAGGAACATGGGGCTACTCAGGACAGTGGGTAGTGAAGTCTTCATAAGGACTGGGAACAGAAATGGGGCACTATTGTCAGGAAGATGGACCAAGAGAGCCTGAGAGTGAACAACCCCCACCACCACCTTTTTATTTTTAATAAGGCTTGAAAGAGTTTTACATTAATAGTTTCACCCTTTAAAATCTCTTCCTATTACTTTTAATTTTTGAATTCTACCTCTGCCTCTCTCTTATTCACAGAACAGAAGAATAGGGTCCTAAATAATGGTTAAAGTCAATGAACTCAATTTCTACATATTTACAAATGCCATAGACATCTTTTCCCATGTTTGCCCCAGAATTGTCACATCCCTGCCTTAACTGAATGGTATAGTATTTAAATTCCCTAAAGGAAATGGTTATTAGGTTAAAATGGTTATTAGAATGCAGGCCACATTCTCCAAGCAATGATCAGCCTTGGTGTAGAGCTCAGCACTGAGAAGACAGAAGCAAAGGTTCAGGTGCAGGGCCCATTGAATTAGAATTAGATGTATCAAGAAAGAACAGCCTCTATTGATTTGGTTCCTGAAGTTAATGTCAAGGAAAGTTGAGACCATCTAGAGTACAATGCTAGCTGGGCAAGTGTGGCATCAGGGGAACCACAGCCCTGGGAGGAGGCTGTGGCTGTCATGTTCAAAACAACAAGGGAACAAGAAACACTGAACTTCCATGGGCTTTGGTAGAGATCCCTTAGGAATCACTGTGCTTGACCTTGTGAAGGGAACCTCCATAATGGCAGGAACTTTCCATGGAATTCCCTCAGGTGTAGATCTGGCCCTCTGCCTACAGTCGTTAGCAGAGGCACGTTCTTTTGTTTCCAACACACCCATCCCTGCACACATGTGCCCACACATGCACCGGTATACACACACACACACACACTCACTTGCACTCACACACAGGCTGGCATGCACCTCCACCATTTGACCACAGCACTGGATCCAAGTTCCAGAAGAGCAGTGAGAATGAGGTACTGAAGAAACTTTTTCTGGTTTTCTGACCACTACAATATACATAGATCAACCCTAGCCTTTCCCAAGAATACCCTAAAATAAACATAGAATTCAAAATCACAGAAGAAAACGGCCCATGGATCAGTGAATCTGATGAAAGCCAGAGCCTTCTTGGCCTTGAGGTTGCTTGGTTTCCAAGCAGAAAGGACAAGAGGCTAGTAGCAACAGAGAAGGAGGTACATAAATGCTGATATTGTCAATATTGATATTGGTGTCAGGTGAGCCGAGCCCTGTGGTCACCTTATAGAGTGCCCTGTGATTTCCTATTCCTGATATCTCTCAGTGTGTAAGTCAAATTCAAGGTCCAAAACTTTCTTGAATGAAGTTGTTTTAATCATTTTTGTTGTTGTTGCTTTAACCAAAAAACCTGAAAATAATTTTAAGGAGGAAAAGTTTATTTGGGGGTTCATAGATTCAGAGGTCTTAGTTCATAGATAGCAGGCTTTATTCCTTGAGGCTTGAGGAGAAGCAGAATGTCATGGTAGAATGGTGTGGCAGAAGAAAGCAGGTTGGGACGTGGCCACCAAAAAGCAGCGACAGAGACTCCACTCAACAGGAATAAAATATGTACCCCAAAGGCACAACCCCCAGGAGCCGCCTCCTCCAGCCACTCCCCACCTGCCTACAGTTACCACCCAGTTAATCCCTATTAGGGGATTCATGCACTGCTTAGGTTCAGATTCTTATAACCTAATCATCTCACTTCCAAACTTTCTTGCACTGTCTCCCACATGAGCTTTCGGGGGACACCTAACATCTAAACCATAACTGAAGTGAACTTCCATTAAGGCAGTTTCTTGCAAAGAGATCTGGGCTAACATTTTAGAGATTGTAAAGTCCAAGCATTCACCAATGAACAATTAATATAAACTACAGCCATGCTTCCTGGGAATGTTCTCAGTCCAGCATAAATAATTTCTCCAGTGAGTCACATGTCTGCCATCTTCCTTCCCATTTCCTATTGTTGATTTCAAGAAAGAGGTAAATAGATGTTCCATGGAGTTTTCGGCATGTAGGTTGCTAAGGCCAGAAATGAAGAAACACTGTGGGATGTCTAATCCTTTTGTGTGGAGAACTTCAGAGAGGCCCCGTTGGCAGTTTTCAGAAGAAAAGTTACAAAGAGATGAGAAAAATTAGAGCAGCCAGCAAGGGCAGGTGGGAGGTGTGGGGAGTACCTCTCAGGTGAGTGGAGCAGAAGTCACATCATATAGGAAGACAAAGGGAAGTGTGGTTCTAGAGATGCCACGCAGGTGGAACGCATTTCATTTGTGGCATATAAGGATGATGTCAAATGGCGTCTCTGCATCCTGAAGATAAAGCCAGTGGTTCAGGCCATTAAAAGTCTGATTCTCCGAATGTCCAGAATAAAGAAGGAGTTTAGGGTGGACATACCTATCTTATGTATTCTCTGAAACACAACAGAAAGAGCATCTTACCTTTTCAAAGTTGTTGACTTTAAAGTCAGATGTCATAGGTTTCTAAAATTATGAATTGGGATTTTAAAATCATGTCTTAGTGGTATGCCAGCAAATGGCTGCTTCCTTTCTGTGTTTTTAACAATAAAATATCAAATGAGATCTCAAGCTTTCTTTGTACAAATAGGCTGCTTTTTTTTTTTTTTTGTACAGCTGCTGCTGCTGCTGTTTCAGGCTTCCCCACATCAACCAGAATTTGATCCCATTCCCCAAATAGTAAATGATCTTGTCCATTTTCCAGGCTTGGGATGAGCTCAACTGGACAGCAGGGCTGATGTCTTTTCTCACACCATCCACCCTCAGAGCCAGCATGTGATGATCCATCACCTCATTGAGGATTTAAACAGGGTCTTTGCAGTAAAGCTTGCAGAACCTAATCATCTGGGAAACAAACAGATGTCTCTTTCAACATTTATGCATGGCTTGGTGGGAGTTTTTCTTGGCAGCTGAAAATACAGCCTTCATGTCTTCAATAGATGAGCATCCTCTAGCACATTCGAGGCAGGAACCAAGTTACCAAAGCTTCCCACTTGCAGTGAATATGAAGTTCCAATGATGGAAGCCCACCTGGGCCAGACACCTGTTCTCAATTTCCAAATACCGTTTCTAGATGTTGGGAGTGGGCAGGGGGATTTTGGTTGTTGTGTCCTATGATTGAGATACCGTCATCCTGTCTACTTTCAAGTGAGATTATAGACCACCCTTCTTTCCCTTTTACCTATAAACTTCGAAAACAGTGTCCATGACAGGTCCCTCTGCACAAATGGAACATGAGTAGGTGATATGTGAGCCTGTTCACACCCCAGGGGTTTTATTTTTAATGCAGAGCCAAGCAAAGTATGCTGGTAACCATTAAAGACTAAACACAACCCAGAAAAAGAAGGGTGGGGCTTATTCTCAGCCTGAAAGGCAACAGGAACTGATTGGCCAAGTCTTGGGAAGATAGCTGTTACACCCCACTGATGGCATTAAGCAACAAAATCCAAGAATGACTTTTGGCCCTGCCCTCTTAGAAACTGATTTTGATTAGTACCATCCTCTGTTCTACATCCTGCCAACCTGACCTTGGCTGTGGAAAGAGATGTTTGATTTTGATTAATTGAGGAAAACTGTGCATCCATTTGCTGTGTTTTGTTTTGTTTTTGTTTTTGTTTGTTTGTTTTCCTGGAACTGGGAACATTTTCCCATGCCCCCAGGAGCTCTCTCCTAGCTATCTTGGTTGAAATAGTCTTGACAGGAATCTCCAGCTGGGCTAATGAGTGACAGCTGGCTCTATCACTGGGCAGCCCAACAACCAGCCTGCTTCTCTTGAGGCTTTATCGCCACCTGGTGGACAAATAGTGGAGGCGCCTCCTCTGTGGTCCGTGCTCAGGTAGAAAGAACATTGAAGAGGCAG